ATTGTCAATTTTCACAAAAATCCAGATTTCCATACAGATAAACAATCAAAGATCTTGAACTTAATGAGCCAAACTCATCCATTTATATGTGTAATTCGGACACACATTTGTTAATTATAAATGAGAATATACAATTTATAAAAATATATTCGTACAGAATGAAAACTAATCACTCTGGGTATGGTGCCCCCCCTTTTTAAAAAAAAAATGTGGTATTTAATTGTGCTTTCTTGTGAACATTTTGAGCATTTAAGCATAACATTTCTTCTATGGTTGAGGGCAGTAAATGTACCCCTTCCTCCTAATATTAGATATAAGATTTCTCAGAAATATGAAAAAAATGTGAATGGTTACGCATAACCAAGTGTCTTGCCTGGGACTGATGTTGTCAGTGAAAAAGAATAATGTTGAACTCCAAAAACATTTAAGTCTATATATTAAAATATGAAGATGTGGTAAAATCGCCAATGGGACAACTTTCCACCAGAGACCAAGTGACAATGAAATTAACAACTACATGTCATCGTACGGCCTTCAACAATGAGCATAACATGTTTATCAGAAAAACAAAACATAATGAACATATAAAAAAAATTTTTTTGCTCAGGATACTATCACTTTAAAAATGGCTATATAGAAGTCACAGTAAAAGTTTCATGGAATTCTGTGTTGGTTTGAATCAGATTATTGATGCTTTAAAAACTTTTACCTTAGACTGTAAGATCTGCCTAACAAGAATGCACACCCTGAAATGTCTCGCCTGTCTTATTTATCATTGAATTGCTGTTGAAACTCTGTTAATGAACATTTTAAAACAAGTACCATATTAACTTAACATTATCAATGTTCTAAGAAAATGAGGTCACGGTCAGATGAACAATGGCAGACACACATGTACACCTTGCAATCATTCCATACACCAAATATAGTAGTCCTATCGCTTATAGTATCGATAAACTGACATAATTACGAAAACTAATCATTGACCAATGAACGATGAAAATAAGATCATGGACAGATGAAACCTGCCAGAAAGACATGTACACCTTATATTGTTCCATACACAAAACAGAATGGTCCCATTGCTTATAGTATCCGATAAATAGACCAAACCCGAAAAAAAAAACAAATATTGTTCATGAACAATGAAATTCAGGTCAAAGTCAGATGAAACCTGCCAGTCTGACATTCCATACACAAAATATAATTGACCTATTGCTTATAGTATCTGAGATACAGACTTGACCTCGTATCTTTAACCTTGATCACTGATCTACAGAATGTGGTCGAGGTCAGGTGAACCTTACCTGACGGAAACGTAGACGTTGCAAGGAACCCACATACCAAAATAATTGAGTATTGGGATTGTAATTTATTTTCAAGCAGTCACTAAACCATGAAAATGAGATCAAGGACAATGGACTTATAACAGACGGAATCTTCGTAACATAAGGTATCTGCACATGTAAGGGATGAAGCACCGAGGGGCGTGTTTTATTGGTCTCTTCTGTACATCTTCAGAATGTCTTTTTGGTGAAGAGTCAAACTAGACGATCTAAAGAGCCTGTGTCGCTCACCTTGGTCTATGTGCATATTTAACAAAGGATACTCTCCAACATTGTAGACGAGAATGGAATTCATGACAAAAATCTCTGTTTTGTTGATCTTGTATTACTGATTATAAGGTCTGTTTAGTTTCTCTCTATCTTCTTTAGTTTTTGCTCAAAACACAAGAGGGTTAAAAAAATCCTCATTTAAGGGTAATCACTCCTATAAAGAGTGACAGTCTACTAACTATATCAGCAACATTTGACTTGTTTGTAGATCCTGCCTTGCTGATCATTTTTGTGATTTAAAGTGTCTATTTATCTATTATATTTTAATCATATAAGGCAAAATGCAAAAACAATGGTAAAAAAAAAATCATCATTAAAGGGCAATAACTCCAATAAGGAGTCGTGGGATGATTTTCTCTCTTTGTCTTAATTATAGATTTTGTCTTCCTGATAATTTTTGCTTATTTAAGTTTCTATCTATCTATTATAGTTTTTAAAATACAAGGCCAAAATGCAAAAAAATGGTACAAATCGTCATCAGAGGGAAATAACTCTAATAAGGAGTCGCCTGACGATTTTGACAATGCATACTTATTTAACTTGCAATTTAAAGTTTCTCTCTATCTATCATAGTTTTCAAGATTATAGGCAAAAATGAAAAATAAATTAGTAAAATTTGTCATTTAAGGGCAATAACTCCTATAAGAAGTTTTGACGTATATGGACAATTGGTAGAGCTCAACATTCTGAACAGTTTTGCGCTAGATTTTCTCTATTTATAACATTTTTTAAAATAATAGACAAAACTTGCATTTTACCCCTTTGTTCTACTTTTAGCCATGTCAGCCATCTTGGTTGGCAGACCGGGTCATTGGACACATTTTTTAAACTAAATACCCCAATGATGATTGTGGCCAAGTTTTGTTAAATTTGGCCAAGTAGTTTCAGAGGAGAAGATTTTTGTAAAAGTTAATGACGGACGACGACAGACGACGACGGATGCCAAGTGATTAGAAAATCTCACTTGGCCCTCTAGGCCAGGTGAGCTAAACAAATGAATCTGGACCTCTTCTGGAAATATTCTTTAAAAGAAGCAATAAAAACAAAAATTCAATATGCTGTCGAATATAGCAGATTTAAAAAAAAATTGGATGACATAAAAGAAATTTACGATGATTTATTATAGAAAATAAGATATATCATCAGTTCCGTTTCGGTAAACACGACTGTAATAGTCTTGTTAAATCTTCATAAAATAACCTATAACTATTACAAACACAAAAAATTGCTCCACTGAAACAGCATAATAATTGTTAATTTGTAGATTCCTGTTTTTGTCAAGTTTGTTTTCTCTTTGGTTGAAGGTCATACAGTGACCTACATGTATAGTTGTTTACATCCTTGTCATTTGGTCTCTGGTGGATAGTAGTCTGGTGGATAGTAGTCTGGTGGATAGTAGTCTGGTGGAAAGTAGTCTGGAGGATAGTACTCTGGTGGATAGTAGTCTGGAGGATAGTAGTCTGGTAGATAGTAGTCTGGTGGATAGTAGTCTGGTGGATAGTAGTCTGGTAGATAGTAGTCTGGTGGATAGTAGTCTGGAGGATAGTAGTCTGGTGGATAGTAGTCTGGTGGAAAGTAGTCTGGAAGATAGTGCTCTGGTGGATAGTAGTCTGGTGGATAGTAGTCTGGTGGATAGTAGTCTGGTAGATAGTAATCTGGTGGATAGTAGTCTGGTGGATAGTAGTCTGGTGGATAGTAGTCTCCTTGGAAAGTATACCACATCTCCTTATTCTAACTCTGGTGGATAGTAGTCTCCATGGAAAGTATACCACATCTCCTTATTCTAACTCTGGTGGATAGTAGTCTCCTTGGAAAGTATACCACATCTCCTTATTCTAACTGTGGTGGATAGTAGTCTCATTGGAAAGTATACCACATTTCATTATTCTAACTCTGGTGGATAGTAGTCTCATTGGAAAGTATACCACATTTCATTATTCCAACTCTGGTGGATAATAGTCTCATTGGAAAGTATACCACATCTCCTTATTCCAACTCTGGTGGATAATAGTCTCATTGGAAAGTATACCACATCTCCTTATTCCAACTGTGGTGGATAGTAGTCTCATTGGAAAGTATACCACATTTCATTATTCTAACTCTGGTGGATAGTAGTCTCATTGGAAAGTTTACCACATCTCCTTATTCTAACTCTGGTGGATAGTAGTCTCATTGGAAAGTATACCACATCTCATTATTCTTACTCTGGTGGATAGTAGTCTCATTGGAAAGTATACCCCATTTCATTATTCTAACTCTGGTGGATAGTAGTCTCATTGGAAAGTATACCACATCTCCTTATTCTAACTCTGGTGTATAGTAGTCTCATTGGAAAGTATACCACATCCCCTTATTCTAACTCTGGTGGATAGTAGTCTCCTTGGAAAGTATACCACATCTCCTTATTCTAACTCTGGTGGATAGTAGTCTCCTTGGAAAGTATACCAAATCTAACTCTGGTGGATAGTAGTCTCATTGGAAAGTATACCACATCTCCTTATTCTAACTCTGGTGGATAGTAGTCTCCTTGGAAAGTATACCACATCTCCTTATTCTAACTCTGGTGGATAGTAGTCTCATTGGAAAGTATACCACATCTCCTTATTCCAACTGTGGTGGATAGTAGTCTCATTGGAAAGTATACCACATTTCATTATTCTAACTCTGGTGGATAGTAGTCTCATTGGAAAGTTTACCACATCTCCTTATTCTAACTCTGGTGGATAGTAGTCTCATTGGAAAGTATACCACATCTCATTATTCTTACTCTGGTGGATAGTAGTCTCATTGGAAAGTATACCCCATTTCATTATTCCAACTCTGGTGGATAGTAGTCTCATTGGAAAGTATACCACATCTCCTTATTCTAACTCTGGTGTATAGTAGTCTCATTGGAAAGTATACCACATCCCCTTATTCTAACTCTGGTGGATAGTAGTCTCCTTGGAAAGTATACCACATCTCCTTATTCTAACTCTGGTGGATAGTAGTCTCCTTGGAAAGTATACCAAATCTAACTCTGGTGGATAGTAGTCTGGTGGATAGTAGTCTGGTGGATAGTAGTCTCATTGGAAAGTATACCACATCTCCTTATTCTAACTCTGGTGGATAGTAGTCTCCTTGGAAAGTATACCACATCTCCTTATTCTAACTCTGGTGGATAGTAGTTTCATTGGAAAGTATACCACATCTTTATAAGCCTGTTTGTTTTGATCTATGTTTTCTAAAAATTTTACACCAGTGGTGTGTAAGACTCTGATAAATATGCTGATTTAAATGTAAGATAAAAAGTTTTCTGGCCAAAGGGGAATAATACAATTAAAAATTACAACCGATGTAGTACAAGGGGAGTAATTCAATCCTGAACTTAGCTCTCCAGTTTGAAAACAACGAAAGGTTCACAATCAACAACAATGATGAAAATTAGAATTCGAAACCGCAGAATCACGAAGTCTATTGACATAGATAATGAGTGTAAACTTAATGATCTACGTCAGTTTATTTTTGGATTGTTTGACGACACTTTTCCAAGGTTAATTTTTAATGTCATCCCTTAAATTAATCAGTTTTTGGCTCAGAGTTCTAACATAAAGATCCCACTGTCTAGTCCAAATAATTATGACGTCTTGAAAGGCTATTTTATTTTTTTGCTTTGACAAAAAATAAAATAGCCTTTCAAGACGTCATAATTATTTGGACTAACTACTGTCATGAATAGTTATATATACATTATATAACGGATGTATTAAAACTGTTTTATACCCTTAAAATTGAGAATGGAAATGGGGAATGTATCAAAGAGACAACAACCCGACCATATAGTCCGAGATTACTCTGACGTCCAACGGCTGTTTTGCCAGACAAACTGGGGCCGTGGGACGTCAGAGTAATCTCGGACTACCGACCATAGAGCAGACAACAGCCGAAGGCCACCAATGGGTCTTCAATGCAGCGAGAAACTCCCGCACCCGAAGGCGTCCTTCAGCTGGCCCCTAAATAAATATGTATACTAGTTCAGTGACTATGAGTGTCATACTAAACTCCAAATTATACACAGGAAACTAAAAGTAAAATGATACAAGACTAACAAAGGCCAGAGGCTCCTGACTTGGGACAGGCGCAAAAATGCGGCGGGGTTAAACATAAATCATCCACACTGTCAACGATTATAGTCATTTATATGTCCTGGAGAATATGGGAGCGTCTTTTTACCACAGAACACCACAGAAGGGATACCACAGAACAACATTTTTTTTACTATAAAGGTTATATCTTCATATAAAATATTCATTAATCTCGCAGATTTCTTAATCTAATGAAAAGATGTTAAAAGAAAAAGCGATATTAGCATATTAGCACTTCCTGTCTTTCAGATCAATATTTTTCGTATCGTAATATTCGCTGATAAAATCCGTCAGATCAACTTTTTTGGTAGAAAAACATGTTTTATTTATATAAAGTTTTTATTGTTAAACAACATATTTAATAAACTCGCAGATTTCCTAATTTCACAAAAAAATATTGTAAAACAAAAGAGATTTTAACACTTTTTATCGATCAGTTCAATATATTCAAAGCGTATATTGGATCATATTGATTGTGCGGTAAATTTTTTTTTGCTCAAAACCATTTTTTAAAATGTTTATTTTAGATTTTCATTATTATAATGCATTAGTTTAGTGTCTCAAAGGTCTCCAAATGTAAAAAAAATTGCCAAATAACCAAAAAGTTATATGATCATTTTTATCTCATCCAGTCAATCGTCATGTCATTGGTGTAACCCGAATTAAAGAAATAATGTAATTCTGAATTATTAGATTTGCATTTTATAAAGTAACTTTAATTTCTGTGGTATATTTCAGTAGTTTTATTGTAATGTGTGAGGTTCTGTGGTATATTTTGAGTGTTCTGTGGTGTTCTGTGATATTCTGTGGTGTTCTGTGGTAAAAAGACGCTCCGGGAGAATATGATTGTTATTAGAGAATCACATATTTGTCTGGACTCTGGGACCTGAACCCCGGATCTTTGTGTTTCAAGTCAGTGCTGTTCCCAACTGAGCTTAAGAAGTACTTCCCTAGCTCAACCATTTAAGGCTGGTTAAGCATCTTCTATGCAAGAGAAGCAATACTGTTGCAGTCCAATATGGAAAACATGTCTGCTACTGTAGTGCCGTAACATTTATTTGACAGGTTCTGTATATATATCTACAGTTTGAGCTTACAATAAAGATATATAGCTCAATTGAGCTACAAACATTTACCTCCTTAAAGATGAAACTTTTGAAAAATAAAATTTTATTTTCTGCATTATTACATGTAATTGGAAATGCAGTCAAAAAATGTATATGCTCCCAAAATAGAAACGTCGTTTTGGGTCATACATTTAAACTACTGATAGCATTTCATCAAAATGGCGGTCCATAAACCCTTTTCTGGTTTTCTTTCTTTTTGTAGGATATTTCGTAAAACATCATAATTGACCATATGATTCTCCACAAATTTGTATCAAAGTAGCATATGAATTCCTGCGTACAATGTATTTCTGATTACCTACATGACCTATAAATATACTGATTAAAAAAAACAAACATGCACAAATAATTATAACCTTTGGGAGCTCATCAGAATGCACCTGCTTCATATTATCAATGATGTTAAAGAAACAAAGCTGTATATTTCTGTGCAAATTTTTGAAAACTTTTACAGATGTACATGATTGTAAACATCATGCATGTAAACATGTTCCCAGCATTTCCTAACCAGATTACTAAAGACTTTGAGGCAGTGATAATGTTAACATTCTATTGGAACGTCTTATACATTTTACCTGTGTACTAAACAATCTGCGTAAAATGAAGTTCATAGAACAATCGGTGCTTACTGTAATATAATAGCATGAGCATTGTGACATTGACGGAAGGGTGAACGAATTTGAAAGTGATCTCTAGTGAGTTGTTTTAATAATTGACTCTGTTTGGCAAAAGTGAACGTCATATAGGTCAATACATCTGGAAGTTTTTTTACATCATAATTTTATTGTTTAAACTTATTTCACAGATTGCTGGCAAATCAAACATTTTTTTAGATCAGGTCCTGTCTGAATGTATTTTGCATAACAATAAAAAAATATGTTATTGTTACCTGCAATTTCTGTATGAAGTCGGGTCTCTTTTCAGAAATACATTTAGGCAATTAGCCTCAATAGTTATTTCTTATTGTTACTTTTTGCGGGTAATCGTAGCTTTGTTGTAAGGGGCAAAAATCTTATGAATAGTAAAATTAAACATCATTGGTTTCAAAAAAGGATTATTATGTGAAAAAAAAATCTGATTTTACTTTAGGCCTATCATGTTTATCAAGTCATAAATAAATTTTGTTGGTATTTTTTCCTGACTTTTGTTTACCTACCTTTGTACCCAGTAGAAACAAACATGTGATACAGTAGGAATCTGTTTGCAGGCTTCATATTCATATCACTTACCTCATTTTCATCCTAAAAATGTATTTAATTTGTCATTGGACGTTTAACAGCCATCCATTACCATCATTGTAATGAATCATTTCTATACTAACCATGCTAACCAGGAAGGGAAATGATTCATACTGTGTTATAGCTTTGAGACACTTTCATTCTTTGGGAAATATCTTTTTAGGTAAGTCTATAACTCAAGAAAAATGTGGGTTTAATTTTGTTGAGAGAAATCTGTTTTTTGAACACATATGAATTGGTGAAGAATTTGAGTGTTTAAAATCTTTTGTCATCTCACTTACATGAAGAAATTAACTGAACTTTATCATCAGTTCTCCAAAATATTAAATGTTCTTTTCCTCAAACTGTTATTGATCCTACTCACTCATTGTTTGTCTTGACCTCCATATTTAACAGTTACATTTTTCATTACTTCAGTGGATAAAGTATTGACAGATTGGGGATTAAAGAATGTGAAAATATTGCACCAGAAATTTTGGTTTTTTCAGAATGTTGCAATAGAGAGAACAATATGAAATTTTGAATTTTAATTTTTAAATATTTGAAACATTTTCTTATTTTTTAGGGAATATTTTTTTAGTTTGAATGGTAGAGATCCTATGACAGGAGCTGACACTTCTACAGAAGAAGACAGTCCCTGGAACAACGATGATTTAACACTTAAAGACTGCAATATAGTTGGTGGGGATTTAATCCACATTGTTTCTTTAGATGAGGAGGAGACTCCAAAACACTGCAATGAACAGGACAAAAATGTTGCCATGGAAACAGATCATTCAACTGGTTCTAGTTCTAAACATGACGATAACAAACCATCAACTAGTGGTTACTATGACAACAGTTCACAAATAGCAAACACTAAAAATCCTACATCAGTAGCATCTGGTTTCTCATATAGTGAATCAGATGTAGCTATGGAAGAGAAACCAGTAGATCATGCCATTGTAAACAAATGTTTATCAGAGCCACTGTTATGTAGAGACAGTGTACAGGGAACAGTTCCACCACTGCTGGTTAAATTTTATATAGAAAGTGATGTTACATCTACACATGAAGCTCTGGTTGTTGTATTACATATTCTAATGTTAGAATCAGGATACATACCTGTACAGGTAAGGGGTTGTAGACAGGTAGATTATTATTAGAATCAGGATACATACCTGAACAGGTAAGGGATTGTAGACAGGAAGATTAATGTTAGAATCAGGATACATACCTGTGCAGGTAAGGGATTGTAGACAGGTAGATTAATGTTAGAATCAGGATACATACCTGTACAGGTAAGGGATTGTAGACAGGTAGATTAATGTTAGAATCAGGATACATACCTGTATAGGTAAGGGATTGTAGACAGGTAGATTAATGTTAGAATCAGGATACATACCTGTACAGGTAAGGGATTGTAGACAGGTAGATTAATGTAAGAATCAGGATTCATACCTGTATAGGTAAGGGATTGTAGACAGGTAGATTAATGTTAGAATCAGGATACATACCTGTGCAGGTAAGGGATTGTAGACAGGTAGATTAATGTTAGAATCAGGATACATACCTGTACAGGTAAGGGATTGTAGACAGGAAGATTAATGTTAGAATCAGGATACATACCTGTGCAGGTAAGGGATTGTAGACAGGTAGATTAATGTTAGAATCAGGATACATACCTGTACAGGTAAGGGAGTGTAGACAGGTAGATTAATGTTAGAATCAGGATACATACCTGTGCAGGTAAGGGACTGTAAACAGGTAGATTAATGTTAGAATCAGGATACATACTTGTGCAGGTAAGGGATTGTAGACAGGTAGATTAATGTTAGAATCAGGATACATACCTGTGCAGGTAAGGGATTGTAGACAGGTAGATTAATGTTAGAATCAGGATACATACCTGTGCAGGTAAGGGGTTGTAGACAGGTAGATTAATGTTAGAATCAGGATACATACCTGTGCAGGTAAGGGATTGTAGACAGGTAGATTAATGTTAGAATCAGGATACATACCTGTGCAGGTAAGGGGTTGTAGACAGGTAGATTAATGTTAGAATCAGGAAACATACCTGTGCAGGTAAGGGACTGTAAACAGGTAGATCAATGTTAGAATCAGGATACATACCTGTGCAGGTAAGGGACTGTAAACAGGTAGATCAATGTTAGAATCAGGATACATACCTGTGCAGGTAAGGGATTGTAGACAGGTAGATTAATGTTAGAATCAGGATACATACCTGTACAGGTAGGGGGTTGTAAACTGGTAGATTAATGTTAGAATCAGGATACATACCTGCGCAGGTAAGGGACTGTAAACAGGTAGATCAATGTTAGAATCAGGATACTTACCTGTGCAGGTAAGTTGTAAAGAAAGCCGTTCCATTTCTGCATGTCAAGTTTTAACTATTATATTAAACCTACATGTAGGATAGTTGTTTTCATTTGTCCTTTGGTTTTTCTTCTTTCTTTCAAAAAATAATATAAGATGAACTTATTCATGAGTTTCCATTTGTACAATTTTCTTGCATTAGCAAGTTATGCTTTAGAAAAATAAGCCTGTAAAGTTAGGCATGAAAAAGATATTAAGTAGATTAAAGTAGAGAAAAGTTTGAAATATCAGAAATTAACTCTCTATTTTAGGTTGCCATGGCAATAGATTATCAGGCTATATGCTTCTTGATCACTGCTAACTACCATTACTGTGACCTTTATAAATATAAGGAGATGTGGTATGATTGCCAATGAGACAACTATCCACCCAAGTTCAAAGGTACTGCACATTCATCTTTACATGTATTAACTTTTGCTTATAATTTATGCTACCACCAAGTTCACTTTATTTCTTTCTTTTAAAGACATCAGATCAAAGCACAGCCTCTGGAAGATCAGATATGATGAATGAAGACTGGAAGAAAGGATCACCAGCAAGTTATACAATAAAGTACACACACAGCAGTTGTTCTGATCCAGATATTTTTACACTGGTCTGTTTAAAGATGGGCAAATTATTGATCATTCATGGTTAGTGTTCTGATACAGATATATTTACACTGGTGTGTTCAATGATGGGCTAATTATTGATCATTCATGGTTAGTGTTCTGATTCATGGTTAGTTTTTTTAAAAACTCAGATAAATAATGATGTGATGAGGAAAATAATCAGAAATGATGTTCAACTCCCACATATTTCTTCTAACTAAATTTGACCAAACTCTGTAATTTGTTCTCATTCTGATCATTCATGAATAATATCTGGATCAGGATTTTCACTGAAAATTTCCTTTATAAAGAACTGCATTGCCATAATGTTCTGGTCCAACTGGATTATATGCCTCCCATTATTCTAGAATTATACTAGGATAAATTGGTATGTGAAAATAATCAGACATAGTCTGTTGTCTCTAAGTGAATTTTTTGACTTATGAATAAAAGGAGATGTGAAGCATAATACCACACTGAATCAGTAACTCAAAAACACAACAATCAAAATACTTCCAAAAGACAACATACAGTTTCAAAAATAGACAGGTGTCTATACAATATGTCCAGCACTAAATACTTCTGAGTCTAAAAAAGATGTGAATAATTTGACAGAATCTATCAAAGAACTGCCAAATATCAAAATACAAAAAAAAATTAGTCTACTAAATGAAAATTGTTTTTTTCTTGAAATGTCTGGTAATTTATGGATTATTATTGATGGTTACTGTTTTACAGGTAGATCACCAGATAAAGAAGACATACCATTGAATATTACTTTTTCTGACTTTATACAATCCATTGATGGAGGTAAGTAAGAACAAATATACTAATGTAAATAAGATTAGTTTGTCCTGATATTGGATTTACATTTTGTTCTGAAGTATATACTCATTAATATTGCAGATCTATCCATTACAAGTATAAAATTAACTCTAGTTTATAAAACTTGGCTGCATATTCTATAAAAAAAATACAGATACTGTGGATGAATTATTTTTTTGTTGATTTCGTTGGTAAGGATGAGCCACAAATTTTTAAAAGTGTTCAATGAAGCGCAAAATTTCTATAGGCTTTTATATAGACTTTGTCAAAACCATGAAATTAAATGTCCAAGAAAATCAATTTCCTCTTTAATCCACTAAAATTGGTACCCACAAAGTAAATGAATCCAGTAGTGCTGTTTTTCATGTTTTTATAAGAACAGAGAAAGTATATAAAAAATTTTCAAGGAAAAACGTAATACTTTGAACTGTAGTTAAGGATGTTCGCTACTCAGTTTCAAAATAACAAGCTTTGCATAACACTGGTAAATATTAATAGGGAATTAATAAAGGAACTAAAAGAGAGCAAAAAAAAATTACAGGTCCGTGTACTTGTTTAAGAGATATAAACTATTGAAAATATGGCGGGAAATATATTCTCTCATGATTTTTCATAGCTTATAATTGACTAGTTTTATTTCTCAAAACATATTAGAAAATAATAAAGATTTTATAATTTTTTTACAAATGGCTTCTTATCTTATCTTGCATGTAAAAGATTTATGAAAAGACAAATGAGTATTAGCGGGGAAAATAGTTTATGGCATTTAAATAGATAAAACCAGAGGATTCCGAAAATCTGACAAAAAATCAAAAACATGACTAGCGAACATCCTTTTAAAATTAATGCAGATAAAATTATATGTTTAAGATAACCCTTATGTATTATTAAAAGGATCATCAAGTTTTTCATGTCTATGTACATCACTGTGAGAAGAAGCTTCTGCAAGATATAGGTCACAGAATATAATCTATTGTAATATGTAATAGATGTTTTAGATATTTGTGTATACTGTAAACCAACCAATTTTTGCGAGCATTTTATTTTCGCGACTTTGCGAGTAGAAAAATTGTGTGAATATTAATCGCTGTGAATATGAAAAATAGGATCTTTCCTTATTTAACTACATCAAGTAGTTTGAAAATCGTGAAATTAAGTCGTCGCTTAGTGGACTAGAATGGGCTAAATGTGAAATAAAGTATCCACAAAAATAAGTTGGTTTACAGTATTATGCAGGAAAAGTTCACTTATTGTAGAATTTGGTCTCATCTATTTATATTTCAGAAATAAATGAAGTTTATAAGAATTTACCAAAGTTGTCAATGATATTTAAAGATACTATATCATTACCACTGCTGCAGACATATAGACAAAGTAAGTACATGTATATTGATAGATTAACTAGGTAAGTTATAATAGTCATACACATACTTAAATAGATAGGTTACCAAGTCGTCTTATACTTAAAGTATGTACTGAAACCCGTTATATTCTTTTTTTGTGATTTGAAAAGAATGCTACTGCAAACCAACTTTTAGTAAATCACTATACAATGGAATCCCTTGGGTTGGTGTGGCCTAAGATATTTACCTGATTTGTCATATCCGCAATGTAACATAAAAAGAATTCTTTTTGTAAATGTTTTACTCTTCCAACAGAAAATGTTGAAATTGATAAGTTCAAGCATAAATTTATAATTGCAATCCCATGTTTATCCCTTTTCCATTAAGACTATGACATCTCCAGATAAAATTGTTTCATTTTAAGGTAAATTTTATCAAAATGAAATTACTTGTGCACTGCATCCTTATCAGTCTGCTTTATTTAAGCTAAACTGTATTTTGTAGTATAAAATCTCTTCTTTATTCAAAATTTATTAAGAAGGTATGAACGAAATCGCTGGACATCTGAAGAGCTCCAAACAGGGGTTTCCCTAATTTTGGACACACATTACATAAAATCTTAAGGTGAAATCATACTTAAAGATGATTTTATGAAATAAAAGAATGTCATGAATTTGTTCACAAAATATTATCTGATTATTGTTTTTATGAGTTTACCAAAATGTAGCAAGAAGTCTTAGGTGCGCGGATACACTGTACTGCTCCGTAATTCTATATTTACGCAAAATTATTTTTTCAAGAACTGAAATTGACTTGTAATTGTAAATTACTATAACATTATTTATTTTCAAGGCTATCAATTTTGATGGTGTAACTTAGTTTTGTGGTAATAATAATACTATGCTGCCTATAATAAATACAGATAGTATAGAGCATGTAGAGAGAGGTACTTTTCATTTTTTATAAGAACAGAGAAGGTATATAGAATTTGTTTATTTACTTTCAGATCATGGATTTCCTGTATTGAGTGGTATTATGTCATTAAGTCATGAAATTAAAGTAAGTTCTCTTTTGATTGCCTCAATAAAGTTAATATTTTGGGATTAATTTTCAATGCACCTTGCTAGAAATATTAATGTAGAAGGGAAAATAGCTAAAATTATGTAATTTTCAAAAAATAATTGGCAAATTTCAGTCAAAGGCAAACTGAAATTGTTCTATTATGGTCATCTAGCAGCTCAACTAATCAATGGCTTTATTTACTAAAAATAGAATTAAAAAGATGTATTCAACAAAAACAGTAACAAAATACCTATGAGTAAGATTCATAGAAATGTTGGGGAAAAGATGCATGTTCAATGCTCGTTAGGATGATCTTTTATCTGTTGACACAAGTTTCATCATGTTCTATCTGCATTTTATGTAAGAATAGTTGAATTAGTATTGTGAAAAGGTCCATATTTAAAACAACTATTTCTCGTTTCTCGTTTTTTATATAGATTAGACCGTTGGTTTTCCTGTTTGAATGGTTTTACACTAGTAATTTTTGGGGCCCTTTATAGCTTACTGTTCAGTGTGAGCCAAGGCTCAGTGTTGAAGACCGTACTTTGACCTATAATGGTTTACTTTTATAAATTTTGACTTGGATGGAGAGTTGTCTCATTGGCACTCATACCACATCTTCTTATATCTATTTGATTTCCATTAGTTTGAACAAAATCACACTTTTTATTGTTTTTTTTAATAGTTGACAGTTTTTAGTTTCCTTGATGTGCCAAGCACTGTAAGAATGATGGATACATGTAAAGATTTCCGACAGATTTGTAAAGACAGATATTTATGGCGTAGACTTTATCTCAAAGATTTTGGAAGTATGTATGTAGAGAACTTTGTGGTAATCTGTGTATGGTTACCAGAATTTATTATCCTGTAAAAATAAAAACAATAACCTCTCCTCAAATATAATGTATATTGCTCATGTTTCACAGACTTGTACACACAATGCCTTTAAATGAACATTGAAATGTTTGCATAAAATTGAGAATGGAAACGAGGAATGTGTCAAAGAGACAACATCTCGACCAAAGAGCAGAAAACAGCTCAAGGCCATCAATGGGTCTTCAACACAGCGAGAAAATCCTGCACCCGGAGGCGGGCTTTAGCTGGCCCCTAAACAAAAATGTATACTGGTTCACTGAAAATGGACGTCACACTTAAAATTCTGAAACATATAACTGAACCAAAATTAAAAAAAAACATACAAGATTAACAAAGGCCAGAGGTTCCTGACTTGGGACAGGTGCAAATATTCTACAAGGTTAAACGTGTTTTGTGAGATCTCAACCCCCCCCCCCCCCCCCCCTATACCTCTTGCCTATGTAGAAGAAACAAACACACAGCAATATGAACAGTAAAACTCGGTTTAAAAGCAGTCCGAGTCCGATGTTAGAATAGGTAACAGAAGAAACTAAGTAAAATGACAATGATCAACATAAATTAACAAAGGAATACTAGCAGTTACTGACATGCCTGCTCCAGACCTAAATTAAACTGATTGAAAGATTATGTCTTCATCAAGCACAATCCCTCCTGTTAGGGGTTTAGTATCATACCATCATAAAATATTTGAGAAGAACATAACCTGTACAGATAATTTCACTGTAAAAAGCCTTCCACAAATATAGCGAATATTACACACACACAAATTCCTGTATATGATACTTTTATTCCAGGGAAAAAATTCCATGTTTTGTTAGAAGATCATTGGTACATCGATGTACAAATTCATTGTTTCAGACATAGAGCAGGAAAAATAAAATGAAAATCTGCACTTCATTATAATCATCCACAAAATTAACTTAAATACACACCTCATGAATAAGAGTAGGTTTGAGATAAGGAAAGAAGTAAAATTTACATTATATATGTTGTAGATAGACAGAATAATGATTTATCACAAGACTGGTATACTGTAAGTACAAATAATTATTTATGGCTACTATCGGTCAAAAGTTCCTCATTAGGGCAAGGATCATTATTACATACAATGTTCTAAGGTTGTAAGGGGGCTTAAATATTTGGCTGCTCATGCAATTGGTTTGCATAAAGTTTCATATATACAAATACGTTTATATTTTGATCTTCCAAAGAATTAAAAAAAATATAAAAATTAAAGTTAAAAGGGGAGATAACTTCAATAATTTCTTTTTAATACATTTTACAGTAAATTTACCTGTTTTGGTTCTTATACATCCTTGGCTTTCAAATATTTGATTTTTAGCATTCCTGATGAAGATAAATCCAGAAAAGTGCTTTGGATGCATTAAATGTATAAACTGTTATTTTAATATTTTTTTTGGCATGAACATTGAAACAAAAAGAGAAATGTTTATTTTCATTACCGGTAAATAATCTTTGAGAATTTGGTAAAGTAAAAAAATATCTAAAGTTAACTTGATCTAAAATAATAATAGAATGTATTTGCTGAGCACATGAGTTATGTAAATTATGTAAATATTTGGCATATAAATAACAGTTATTTATATGATGCAAAATATTTACATTTACATTACTAACTAGAATATGAAATCTATACCTGTTTACATATATGTTTCTCATTATAGATCTATAAGTCGGAATATCAATTAAGGAAACAAAGAGAAAAAGATCGACGTAGATTTCTAAGTCAGATGACCTGTATTGTACCCCCTGTATTTAGACCAGATCATGATCCAGGTTTTCCTAACCCACTACCGTCGTATCCACCAGGAATGATTGGAGGAGATTTTGATCTTTTCCCACAGTTCCAAGGTAATAATAATACACATAATGTCATATCAAAAACCAACTTTTCCAATGGGAAATTGCTCCTAATTAGACCCAATTTGTTTAAAAATACTGTAAATTCAAAAATTTTTGCAGTGTTTTTATTATTGCAAAAATTGCGAAAGGACAGGTTTCACAAAAATAAAACCTCTCATTTAAAATTTAATAGCTTTATTTGTATACAGCTTTTTCTAAAATTGTAATAATTTATCTGGAATTTTAGTCCATTCCTTCACAATCACAATAATAAACGAACAAGAAAATTTGTGAATTTACAGGAGATAATTGGTGGCTAGCCAAGGTAACAACATCTTAATAAAGATGTTTGGTCAGTTAACTATTTATAGATTTAAATACCGGTAGATAGTAATCATTTTCAATACTTAATGGATAAACAGATTGTTTTATCTTTTACATTGTAAAATAAGATCATTAACCAGTATAATTTCTTTTGCTCCTTTATTACTTAAGGAACCAGTATTTGATAAGAAAATTTATTCAAACGTACCTTTTAAATATCTTGAATTTTCATCCTATATTTATTCTTTTCACTGCGGATGAAAGTGAGTTGAAAACACAAGAAGTATATGTTTACTTCATTGTATTACTTGTCTTTTCTCATGAATTCAAATTATATAAGTTGTGGTCAATATAACAGCTGATATTTTGTGTTTGTTTTCAAAGGAGGATTTAGGGTTGGGTGGGTGCCCAAGGGGTCCTGGCCTCCTTAGGGAGCTATATGTATGCTTAATGCATAGAAATTTAAAAAGACTTAACTCCTAAGGTTGTCTTGCTGGTAAAGATAAATAGAGAATATCATATGGCTTTTTCAATATACACCCATATCGACCAGAGACACCAATAGACACAACCTTTTACAGGTTAGGGGTTTGATAAAGCCTTTGTAACTGTGACTGACATCATTTACAATATGTCATATAGAATAGGGGTTTTATGAAGCCTTTGCAACCCTGACCGATTTTATCACGGATGGCTGATACAGCACAATTGTCATGGACTGTATTACACAAAGACATACAATTAATTTGTATTTACTACTCAATATATGATAAACTATAACTAAATTCTTGTATGATTTGCATAATTAGTAATCCTTTAATATTATCAGATACAAGTACTTTTGGTAGTGATTTTTTTGGCAGCTTATTTTTTGACTATTTGTTGTGTCCAACATGTCCAATGTTAACAACATGACAGCTTGATATTCTAATAACACAAACAAAACATGTGTTATTTACAATCCAGAAATTTGTTGAATACATGAAATTAAGTCGGAATTAGAAGGATTAACACATCTTGTCCTGAGTTTATTTATGTTTGATTTTGACTTATTCACTCACAAACTTAACATAAAGGACTTTTATTCGTTTGTGAGTGTATTCAATACTGTATTTGTAGGGAAAAATGAGTTTAATCCTATAATAATTTTTATTGCCCTAAATAATGATCTATTTCTATGTGTGTTACTCTGATATAAAAGGTTTGAAAAACTGAAAATATAAAGAACTATGGAATTTCTAAGATCATACATGTGATACCATTTTAAATAGTGTGAACAAGAAGTTCTATTTTCCGTTTTAGGTCCTGGTGGTGTTGGTGGTTTTGGTGGTCGGAGAAGTGGACAAAATCCATTACAACCATTACAGCCAAGATTTGATCCTTTAGGACCTTTACCGGGTCATAATTTTCGGCCTGGAAGGGGTGGCGGATTAAGAGACAATAGAGGAATGTTTGGAAGAATGGGAGGACCTAGATTTTTTTAGACTTTAATCAAAAGTTGAAAAAAAAAATCAATAACTATTTTGATTTGTGGAATAATCTGTTAAAATTATACATCTATTAAATATTAAGTGCTTTGTTATTTTCTAGGTAACAATAAAAAGAACAGAAATTACAAAAATATTGGACATAACAACAGATACAAATACACCAACCAGCAAAACCACTTGTTTGGAAAAAAAAAGACAAGAAGTAACAGAGGTCCAGATAGTTGGACTTAGTACAGGCACATAATGTGGTGGGGTTTAATCAGTTTTTCATTCACACATCTCCTCTCTTTACCTATCTAGATCAAATTTTGAATAAGTATAACCCTGCACAGTACAGCCACCAACAAGATGACCAGTATAAACTTGAACAAGGCATATAATTTGGAAAGCTGTTTAATGTGTTAAGATGTGCTCACCTCTACAGGAAGGTAGCCACAGCTGGTGGTTTAGTTCTTCTACCCAAAAATGCAGTCATCGGAAATATTACTTCTATACACGACAGGTCAACAATACTTATGCGAGTTGATATTTCTGTATGACATATTGCCTTTACTTCAATTTCTTAGTCCATCGTTAGGTTAAGTTCAGTTACTCAGTAACTAAACAAGACATTTTTAATACCTTTTGGTACTTGTATTGGTTGGGAGGAGTATGTCTGTATGATATATGTAATGTTGGTTGATCCCTCGTACATGCTCTGTTGGTCAATTTATTTGTTGTCATTGTTTACCGTCTGCCATAAATGTTTCTTCTTTTCATGTTATTTCCTTAAATCAGGCCATTAGTTGTCATTTTTTAATTGTTTCAATTTTTACTGCTTGCAATACAGTGGTATTGGTTTTGCTCATAACTGAAGGCCATATAATGACCTGCACTTGTTTACATCCTCAATATTTGTTCTTTGGTGGGCAGTTGTTTCATTGGTATTGTGTCACATACTTCATAAGTGTATACCATCAAACTCCAAAGCAACTTTCAACGTGAAGTACAAGTGATAAAGATATATAAAAACATAATGACAAGATGAACACCAAGAGATGGCAATAGGTCACATGGACTCCACTATACTATAATAGTTCCCAAGAAAATTGGTGAATGACCATGTTTACGATTTATTTCGTCTTCAAGCCATTGTTCCACCACTAAACCGTCTATTCTACTTACTTACTAGTACACTTGGTACAATCAAAAATCTGGTAATAAATTTTTCAAATAAGGCCCATGAAATTAGTGGAATTAATTACTTTTGGAGTGTCAAAAATTTGTTGGGATACTTGAATAAATTTCATGCTCATATTGGTGCTTTCGAATATGTTCAGTTTTGATTTTTCTACCCTATATACCACTTTGCCTCATAATCTCATAAGAAAACATTCACATACCTAATTAAATGGGCATTTAAAAAATCAGAATGCAAATATATATGTTCAAACTCTTTTAGGTCATTTTTAGTAACAACAAACAAAAGAACTATGTCAATTGGAACTGCTTTGATATGATAACTGCACTTGAAAATTACTAGATAACTTTTTTGTTCGCTATGGAGATACTGTACATTGCCAAGTCATTGGAACCCAATGGGGACTAACTGTGCACCACTTATTGTGGACCTGTTTCTGTATTGTTACAAATTACAATTTATGAATATTAAAAATCAGCAAAGACCCATTGAAACAACATTTGATACAAAAATTAAATAACACTTTTAGATATTTGGATGATATATTGGCTCTCAATAATGAGGACTTCTAAGTTAAAAGGGGCATAACTCCTAGAAAAAAAAAGCCTTATAATTTCCTGTTGATGTGCACATCTACATAGTATGTTCTGATTATCTACAAAGTTTCATGAAATTCTGTTGTGTGGTTTCAGAGGAGTTGCAATGACAAGAACAGGACAGACGAATAGACCGGTAAAAATTATTATACCCTACGGAACTTTGTGGCTGCTGTCTGATCGGGTTGTTGTCTCTTTGACATATTCCCCATTTAAATTCTCAATTCTATTCTTACCTTAAATATACATACTACTTACCAGGTATTTCAAAGTTATTGAAAAAATTGTTGACATTGGAATTTTCTTAAACTGAACAATTTGGTTATGAAAATAAAGTCGAGACCTAGGACATATGTGGGTCAACATGTGCTTAATACAATTAATCCACATACCAAACATAATCCATTAAAATGTCAATATAGAAACAGTGATGTGGTATGATTCTTAATGAAACAACAAATGATAAGGGTGTAAACAACTACAGGTCACCCTACAGTCTTCAACAATGAGCAAAACCCTTCAAATAACCTGTGACAGTGGTTTAATATCACAACATGAGAAGAAACTGTAAAAAGCTAGATTGAATGGACTGATAAGATGGGTACTATATATCCACAAAAACAAGACACCATTCTAGAAAAAAAATATATGGGAAAGGGGGGGGGGGTGTGGGTTGGAAGGCACTTGAATTATTTTTGTATGGGTGGTGGCAGGTCACAAAGTACAAATTGTGTGGTTATGTATGCAAAGTAAAATGCAATTGTATGGTGATGGCCATAAAAAAAGTGCCTCCCAACCCCAACCCCAACCCCCCATTTTCGTTTTTCTTTTTTTTGGAATAGCCCTTAATGAAAGCTAGTTCAAAGCCACTTTCAACTAACAAGACCATATTTGGTTGACCTTCATGAAAGAAGGGATAAAACCTAAAGGTATTTACAAAGAAATGATGAGGAGAATACAATTGTTTTAAAATGTTTACTTCTTCCTATTGCATTTGATAGCTTTCAATAAAACTTCTCAACAGTATCAAACATAAACATTAACAAACAGTAAAACAGTTCAAAACATTCTCAATATTTCTTCAAGTTCAAACATACAGGAGTAAGCCTAATTCACAACATCAAAACAAATCAGTTGATTCCTAAATACTTTAATTCAAATTACTCAGTTTTCTGTTTTTGTTTGCATTTGATCTTGTTCTAATCAGTTGGATAAATCTTTACTATAAATTGTCATTTATGATTTCATGCCAAATGTATTCAGAATAATATACTCAGTTGTCTTTCATTAAATCATTGGAGTAATAAAATCTAACAGGTTCAACACACCATAAATTGTGATATCTATCCACTACACCGACTGGAATACTCAATGCCCCAATACTATGGTATGCAGAGCATAAAAAGCATATTTCAATTGCATCAATATCAGCCAACAATGATATACGAGTTTCCCTCAAGATGTATCGATCACACTTCCAGCATTAAATAAATCTACAGTACATTTACTAAAATACAATCCAATTTTTTTATAATATAAGGCAGTAAATATTGTATTTATAAATAGTATACAATCATTTCAAATAAATAGTAACACAATTAAAATGTCTCATAAAATAAAATTTATTTTCTTTTTCCTCTGTGAACAGTTGTCCATCCATCGTCTTCCATTTCTGATTCATTTGCTGAAAGAAATTGAATGATGTATAATCTGAATCATATTTCATAACAATTTATTAACAATTAATTATTTTGTTCTCTATTTTTGTTCAGATTTATTTTGGTGTACTATAAATTTACTTAATATAATAGAATGAACTACAATGCACTTATTTTACTTTTTAAATGTTCTGCTTTTGAAATCTAGAAGAAGTTGTTTTAAGATGTAAACTAAGACATTTCCAGAAAAGCACATTTAATCATTAGCAGCTTATTCTAAATCAATCAACATATTTAAATTCTATCCTGTTATATGAGTAATTATATGAGTTATAGATTAATAATATTCTGTTAAAAACCTATGTATCCATGTCAGATTTCAATTTCAAACTGACTTTGGCAGCATGGGTCTAGATAATCTATATATTGTACCAGAAAACTTAAGCAACATTACTTACATGTAGTTCCATTGGTTATAGATTCTGAGGAAGCACCATCTGACTGTGATGGTTGTGTCTGGTGATGTGTTGAGTTCTGGAGTTGTGTAGGGCCAGTATCCATATCATCTTCATCCTGTAAATATAGGCTATAACAAGAATGTGTCCATAGTACACAGATGCCCTACTCGCACTATCATTCTATGTTCAGTGGACTGTGAAATTAGGGTCAAAACTCTAATTTGGCATTAAAATTAGAAAGATAATATCATAGGGAACATGTGTACTAAGTTTCAAGTTGATTGGACTTCAACTTCATCAATAAAATGCTTCGCCGAGCGCAGCCTGATACGACCGCAGATGTCGAACCCTGAACAGTTGGGGCAGGTTTGGACACAATATTCTGAATTTGTATTGTGATCAAATTTTTGACATAATATACATGATATAGGTTTCTGACACAAAATAAATGTGGTCAAAGATCTTAAAAATTTGAAATGAGACATTTAATTTACCTAGTATGGTCTGAAATCCAAAATTTTTTTAAAAATTTGAAATTTCAAAAATTTTGAAGAAAAAAACTATGAACCTCCATAAAAAAAAAACATTTGAAATAATCACCCCCCACAATTTTTTTTTACATTTTGAAGATAATTTTATTTTCAGGAAAAATGTACAATTTCAGGGAGTTCCATAAACTTTAACACAAGTTATTGTCTGGAAACTAGAAAAATGCTTGTTTTTGGCCACTTTTTTTACCCTAATTCCTGAACGCTTGGGGTAATTACCCCCAAACTCAATCCCTGAATTTCTATATGTTTAGGGCAATTAAACTCAATCCCAGCCTTCCCTTTGTGGTATGGAACCTTGTAGTACAATTTCAGAGAGATCCATACACTTAAACACAAGTTATTGTCTGGAAACTAGAAAAATGCTTGTTTTTGGCCCCTTTTTTGCCCCTAATTCCTGAACGTTTGGGGAAATTACCCCCAAACTCAGTCCCAGCTTTTCCTTTGTGATAGTCGGGCCTCGGTGGCCGAGTGGTCTTAGTGGTTACTACTGTAATCACTAGCCAGTCAACACTGAGGTTGTGAGTTCAAACCCCGCTCGTGCGACAGCATTATACGAACGCAAATTTTTTGCGGTCGTATAAAAACTACCTTGACCAAAAACTTAAACCTTAAGTGGGACAGACTGACGGATGAAGGAACGTATGAACCAACGGAAGCACAGACCAATAAACATAATGCCCCTAGGTGGGGCATAAAAATAAGAAGATGTGGTATGATTGCCAATGAGACAACTCTCCACAAGAGACCAAATGATACAGAAATTAACAACTATATGTCACTGTACGGCCTTCAACAATGAGTAAAACCCATACCCCATAGTCAGCTATAAAAGGCCCCAGAATGACAAATGTAAAACAATTCCAATGAGAAAACTAACAGCCTAATTTATCTACAAAATAATGAACGAAAAACAAATAAGTTACACAGCAACAAACGACAACCACTGAATTACAGGCTCCTGACTTGGGACAGTACTTTATTTAACTTATAACTATACACAGAATTATCTTTGTCCTTAAAAACCACAAACCAGTTTTGAGAGAACCAGTGAACAGAGACATAACACCCATTCATGTTTATGTTAAAACATGCTTATAAGTTGTTAAAAATAGTGAAATGCAAAATTTTCCAGATAAATGGACTACGATACTTATTAAAACATTTCTAGTAACATCCAACACTTTGCTATCAATTGCAGCTTCCATAATGCCTGCATGTCTCATGATATCCTGAATTATTAAAAATATTCAGTAAAATTGCCATATTAAAAGACATAACAAGCTGTTTATATGTTCATCATTCTGACAGGAGTTGCCTGATAGAGTAGGCAGAAAGACTGGTTGTTATGCATCTTTTTACCATGTTTATAGACCTGACACAAATTTTGATTTGCTATTTACTTATGATTTAATCTCCTTGTTCAATGTATCAATAAATCTTCTTCCATTTTTTTCTAGAAAATTTTTACTGCCTTTCACTGATTTTTGTTCTAATATCCTAATATACTTTTGAATTACCTCTGCATGTGATGTATGAATAAAAACTTAAAAACACAATAACTGCTTATCTGATTTCTGATGGTCAAAGGAATATAGCCATCTATAAATTCTTGTTTGCTAATTAATTTACTATCAAATATATTTGTCACAAAGGAAATAATGCAAAAACAGTGTCATAAAAGGTTAATCAATATACTCTACTTCCATGTGAGTTGGAATCCTGCACATGCTCTCAACTTCAATCTTAATTGACAAGGATTGTCAGTTTTCCTACCAAAGGTTGTGGTTCTCTCGGGCACTCCGAATTCCTCCACCAATAATAAACTGTTAACACAGAGATATGTCTCGCCTATTTGTTATTTTGATAATGCAAATGTTGAATTTAAAATAGCAATACTTTAACATGTAAGTTATGCAAATATTCAAAGTCAATGAACCATGACTGAAGTTACAGGGCTAAACCATCTCCATAGAAATGAGATGTGCCAATGCTAATACAACTGCATACCAAATACCATTGACTTTTCATAAGTTGTTCCCTTTAAACAAAGCTAATCACAAACATTAACTTGTAAACTATGTAAAAGTCGATGAACCATAATGAGAAGGTGGGGTTACCCCAGTATATTATTTCCATGGAAATGAAACTTGCAAATTCCAATACATTTGCATAACAAATATCATTGACCTACCACTAGTGGTTCCCCATAAACTGACCTAATCATAAACTAATACATGTAAACTAAGCAAAGTTTCAAAGTCAATAGAGTATGACTGAGGGGGCGGGGCCAAATAATCTCCATGGTAATGAGATGTGCCAATGCTAATACAACTGCATACCAAATATCATTGACCAATCACTAGTGGTTCACCATAAACTAGACCTAATCACAAACTAATACATTGTTGACGCCGCTTTCGCCGCCGACACCGGAAACAGCATACATATGTCTCGCTTTCTGACTCCGTCAAGGCGAGACAAAAACTGACTGCCATGATATATCAGAATAGTGCTGAAAAAAGCTTTAAACACCAATCAATCAATCAGTTGACTTCCATGACTTCCTTGAAAGTTAAAACTTTCTGTTTTATAATAAGACATGACTGTACATTTGTACTACCTTATAAGTTAAACTAATATTTGTTACACATACATTGTCCTCCTCATCACTAGGAGCTCTGGCACACTGTTTTAGTGATGGTTTTTGTAGGTGCTGTAATCTCTGCCGTACAGCAGGTTCGTCACCATTACTACATAGTCTGTGTACACCACAAATCATTGAAGCAATCTGAAAGGTCAAACATTTCTACCATGTCTACTGTAAGCTTTGTTCAGCTCATTTTTATACAATACAAAATTTCAATAACGTGAATACCTAAAAAATGTGTATGAGTAGGCATGAAAATTTAGGGTAAGTGGTGAGGCAGGAAACAAGAGTTATATTTTTTTGCCTCATCAGAGTTCCATAGAACTCAAGTTTGGTACAGTGCTCATTGTTTTTTCCCAAGAAATGAGGAGGGATACATTTAAGTACAATATTGTTAATTTAACCATGAAACCACAATTTTTTCTTATCACACATATCTCAAGTACTTTTTAAAGGAATGACTTTAAATTTGGTTGGCAGATTGGCAGTGGTGAGTTGTAACATGTTAGCCCTTTGAATTACGAGTGTGTGTATGGTTGGTATGTAATTCTTGTTTTTTCTATATTTTGTTTTAACTTACTGAACTATTGTTACTTAAAAGTATAATTACTATGCTTAACCAGAAGGCTTTGTCCTTAGGATTGAAGTTTCATAGCCAAGTCAAACCTTTTTAAACCAGTGCCTTATATTATAGTAGGTGATTATTTTATTTCAAAACCATAGCACAGACAATAAATTACTTGATTTGGATGGTAAGCATTTTTTTATTCATTGCACTCTCTCCATACACGTCATACTAACAACCTTTCACTGAAGCAATGAGTTAAAATGTTCAAACAGTTCATCACTTTGTAGAGGTAAATTCAAACTGCAATTGGGTAAAAATATTTTTATCAATTGGTATTGTAAAAGGACAAAGCCTTCTGATTAAGCACAGTAAGAGAATGTGAACTTGATTTACCTGGGATAAACTTCCATCGTCTGCAATTGTATCAAACTCTGCATTAAGAATATCAGCTAGAAATTCTTCTACTTCAAAAGTCTCTAAGTTTTCTACAAAAAACAACTGGACACATTGTAAAGCATTATCTCTATAAAAAATAAAAGTAAATTAGTTTCCTTAAAAGTATGACTGTTTGCTTATATATATGAAACTTTTGTCAATAACATGTGAATCCCACATAAAATACTATAGTATTTGGTAAAGACTGCTCTCTTGTTCCTTAAATCCATATAATATATCATCAATGTTTTGGAATAAGACCTCTGTGATTTTTTTATTCGCACTATTTCACTTTAAATGGAAATAGATAATCTAAAATTGGTTGAAATTAGTAGATTAGTGTTAATTCATCCAAACAATACTTAATTTTGTGTAGGATGATTGAACTTAAAATTGAGAATGGAAATGGGGAATATGTCAAAGAGACAACAACCCTACCAAAGTGCAGAAAACAGCCGAAGTCTGTAACTCTGCTTCTTAATAACTTACTATTTTCTTTGAACCACTGATCTATTGCAAATACCATCCAGTCAGCTTTTTCTCTGCTTTCACCTCCACCAAACCCATGCTCCACTGCTAACTATATATATATATATATATGGAAATATATATATAAACAAATGCTGGTTTAACATGTTAAAGTATATAAAATCAACATTAATAAATATTAAAAGAGAGAAAACGCATTTAGTTACAATAACTTTGTCTGTATGTGTTATCATCCCAGAGGCCCTCATATACAAATAAAACCAAAAACAAATATTTACATTTACAACAATGACATATTCAATGTGCAATACATGTTAAAATAAACAGTTAAAGAGGTACCCGGTACATGAGATAAAAATTATACGGTTATGAATATTTTCATATTTACCCAAAATTGATCAAAACCTTAAAAAAATTTAGAGGTCAAAATATGATCATTATAACGAGGAAAGACATACACAGAAATAGCTGTGTTATACCTTGAACTTTTATATACACCATTTTGTAGATAATATAATGTAGAGTTATGACATTACATGTACAGGTCTCAGTTGGATAGAGGACCACTGAATCGAAATATATTGGAACTACGTGACTGAATGACATTTCTAAACAAGAATGCACACGCTGAAATGTCTCGCCTACTATACTGACCATTGATTTCATGTTGATAGTCCTACATATAAAGTTTTACTACAAGTATCACATCAACATTTATGTTCCAAGAAAATGAAGTCAAGGTCAGATAAACCAAGCTGGAAATAAATGTACACCTTTAATACAATCATTCCATACACAGAATATAGATGACCTATTGCTTATAGTATAAAAGAAACAGACCAAACCATGGAAATTTTATACTGACCGATGAACCATGAAAATGAAGTCAAGGTCAGATGAACCCTGCCAGACAGACATGTACACCTTAAAATCATTACATGCATCAAATATAGTTGACCTTTTGCTTAAAGTATCTAAGAAACAAAGTTAACCAGGAAAACTGAACATTGACCAATCAACCATGAAAATGAGGTGAAGGTCAGATGATACCTGCCAGACAGACATATACACCTTACAATCATTCCATACACCAAAAATAGTTGACCTATTGGTTAAAGTTTAAGAAAAACAGACCAAAACACAAGAACTTAACATAAGCAATGAACCATGAAAATGAGGTCAAGGTCAAATAAAACCTGCCAGACTAACATGTACATCGTAAAAAACTATTTCCATACACCAAATAAAGTTGACCTACTGCTTACAGTATAAGAAAAACAGACCAAAACACAAAAACTTAACATTGAGCAATGAACCGTGAAAATGAGGTCAAGGTCAAATAAAATTCGTAAGGGTTCCGCGGAACCCAGTGTCTCGCCTACATGTACTTTTGCTGTTAATCGCAGGCTCAACAAAAATGAGGAAAAAAATTAATAAAAATATTCCTCTCGATACTATCTTTTAATTGTAAGAAGCTTCTGTCCAAGTTTGGTAAAAATCCAGGATAGTTTAAGTTATTAAAATTTTAAAAACTTTAACCACAGCGTGAATGTAATGTTTCCTGACAGAAAAACTAAGTCCATTTATAAGTAAAATACAGAAAAAAAATTAATTCTTTTTACTAAATTTACATCTGGATACTATCTTATGATCATAAACAAGCTTCTGTCCAAGTTTGGTAGAAATCCAGGATAGTTTAAGAAAGTTATTAAAATTTCAAAAACTTTAACCACAGACATGACAGAGTGAATGTAATGTTTCCTGGCAGAAAAACTAAGTCCATTTATAAGTAAAATTCGGAAAACCAGAATTTTTTTTTTCAAAATTAACTTCTGGATACTATCTTATGATCATAAACAAGCTTCTGTCCAAGTTTGGTAGAAATCCAGGTTAGTTTAAGAAATTTATTAAAATTTCAAAAACTTTAACCACAGAGTGAATATTTGTGGACGCCGCCGACGCCGACGGAATGTAGGATCGCTATGTCTCGCTTTTTCGACAAAAGTCGAAGGCTCGACAAAAACCTGCCAGACAGACATGTACATCTTAAAATATTTCCATACACCAAATATACTTGACCTACTGCATACAGTATTAGAAAAACATACCAAAACACAAAAACTTAACATTGAGCAATGAACCGTGAAAATGAGGTCAAGGTCAAATAAAACCTGCCAGACTGACATGTACATCGTAAAATATTTCCATACATCAAATATAGTTGACCTATTGCATACAGTATTAGAAAAACAGACCAAAACACAAAAAACTAAACTATGACCACTGAACCATGAAAATGAGGTCAAGGTCAGAAAACACCTGCCAGTTGAACATGTACACCTTACAATCATTATATACACCAAATATAGTAGACCTATTGCTTATAGTATCTGAGAAATGGACTCGACCACGAAAACTTAATCTTGTTCAGTGATCCATGAAATGAGGTCAAGGTCAAGTGAAAACTGTCTGACAGGCATGAGGACCTTGCAAGGTACGCACATACCAAATATAGTTATCCTATTACTCATATTAAGAGAGAAATTAACATTACAAAAAATCTGAACTTTTTTTTCAAGTAGTTGATAGAGTACCTTGTGTTATATTAAAGTATATAAAGTTAGGTAGTTTTTTCCCATAGACAACTGCCTGTGTTAATGATTACAATGTATGTACCCTTTTGCTTTTGATGTTTCAAAGCTAAAAGTATGCAAGTTTTAAAAAAAATCCACAGCCTTTCCCCATGTACTCTTATATTTGACAATTATGTACTAAATAGAAAGGGGACTCATGCATGCAGTGCTAGCAATAATTTCCCTAAAACAAGTTTTTAAAGATATTAGTTAAAACAAGAACAAATATGGATTAATTCGAGTACACCTTCTAGGGTGTCTTTGACTTAAATGACTCAGCCAGAGGTGTTTGGATTGTAAAGGTTGTTTAGGACTTTTTGTAAACAATAAACGTTAGCACATTATGGATAAACTAGAGATTAATCTAGGTTTTAAATATCATAACGAAAGTCTCTATAATAAAGTCGGAAATTTTTGGTAATACACAGTGCTACAGAAAGGATCCTATTAACCTTAAAATCTGCTGGACATGTACACCTTACAATCATTCCATACACCAAATATACTAGACCTATTGCTTATAGTATCCGAGATATGGACTTGACCACCAAAACTTAACCTGTTCACTGATCCATGAAATGAGGTCGAGGTCAAGTGAAAACTGTCTGACGGGCATGAGGACCTTGCAAGGTACCCACATACCAAATATAGTTATCCTATTACTCATAATATAAGAGAAATTAACATTACAAAAAATCTTAACTTTTTTTTCAAGTAGTCACTGAACCATGAAAATGAGGTCTAGTACAATAGACATGTGACAGACGGAAACTTCGTAACATAAGGCATCTATATACAAAGTATGAAGCATCCAGGTCTTCCACCTTCTAAAATATAAAGCTTTTAAGAAGTTAGTTAACGCAGCCGCCGGATCACTATATCCCTACATGTATGTCGAGCTTTCTGCATCAAAAGTCGCAGGCTCGACAAAAACTATCTAACTATCAAGTGATGTTTTGTTTGGTCTTTATAGAGTGACAATAAACTGAGGGATTCATATCAGTAGAGAAAATCCCGAAATGAATCTGCAATATGAGGGGCACAGTTAGTTCCCATCAGAATACCAATCACTATACCTCACAAGCGAACATAAATATGACAACACAAAAATACATGGTCATAATCATCTCTTTGTCTATTCGCATATCCAATCAGTGTTGATTTAATTCTTAGTTACAGGGAACTGTAACGACTATTGTTTTTTTGTTTGATTTTGTTTACTAATGCAATGTATGGTAACTGTTGAATTGGTAATATTATCTGAACCTATTACCGCCATGAATTGCTAAGCCAGATGAGTAATTGCATGGAAAACAGAACAGTTTTTATTTTTAAGCATTGTGTACCTCAAGCACAGTCCAGCTGTCCAAAATTTGACTTAGTGAAGTTTGAAACAACGTGGTGTTTGTGGAGGTTGCCATTCCCTTTATTTTGGAACCTCTCTAGGATTTTAAATAAAAGAAATCATCCGAAGAATGTCAACATCCGGATTTCAAATCGGTTGAAAATTGTGAAAATGACTGGAAAAAAGAGGTTTTTATGGAGTTTTCGATAATGCATATTCATCAGTTGTTGTAATACAAGTATACCTGACATTTTCCCCACTCTAGACAAATTGACAATACAAAAATTTAAGTAAAAATCGATGGAGCATCTAAATACCTACATATTATCTATAAACAGCAACTATACAGTATGAGCCCATAATTTGATATTGAAATGTTGTTAGTTTGATGCAAATTTAGCGTAATAAAAATGTCTTTCCCTTAATTTCAGTGATTGACTTTCTGTTTCACGAGAAGGTTGCTACATATTGATAGATACATATTGAACACCTATTATTTTTAAGAACACGTTTGATAAAATGATAAAAGTTTGACTTAAACATGAAAACAATCAAATTTCAATCAAAGTGATATTTTAAAAATAATTTAGTTCTAAGTATTGTTTATCAGAGGAATAATTTATTTTTTTGTTCTCTAACAGAACCTTATTGTGTATTTATCATGTTTATAATTTGAATATTTTTTCTATAATCATGATAATTAATGATACAAGATACAAGATATTTTATTGTGCCAATCACTGCGCCCATTACTGAGCAGAATGATCATTGTAATTACAAAACTAAGTATACAAAACAACATAATATAATAATTAACAAAATAAGATAACAAAATAATTGGTTATTAATGATTAGTATGACTGTTATAAAATAAGGTTTAGTACAAATTGAATGTAGTAAAATATAATAATGTAATGATAAAATTGTCAAAATTTTGTAAGTAACACACTGCAACCTAGACCAAATTAGTCATGAATCCATGTGTTCTGAATATTATTATTAATAATAATTACTGAAGTTCTGATATCAAAGGGAGATAATTTTACAAGTAATATTAAGCAGTCAGGGGCATTACTTCAACAACAGTTTTACAACTTATGATTTTTACTTATCTCATTAGGTAATTTGATGTACAAATATAAGACAAATACTCAAAGAATTAATTAATTTACAATAGCAGCATGGGCTATATGTAGTTTTTACCAAATGTTGCTTTATTTTCTTACATATAGGTACATGTAAGTATTCCAAGTATTATACAACAAATGATTGATCAGTGCATGCAGAATCAATCCTCAAAAATTTGAAATTCATCCAAATCAGGATAAAAAAGTATTAACCAGCCCGCCGCCGCGTCACTGTCCGACTGGGTTTTCCCAGGCATGGCAAAGTAACTATAAATGGGTAAATTACTCTGCTATATAATTTTTAAACTTACTTTCATACTAAACTGTTGAGACATATTATTATATTTTCATAGTCTTATTGCTAGAAATATACATGTACATTTAAACAGAGAAGCATTAAGAGTAATTTTCAGAGGATAAAAAAAAATATATTAAAGCACCTTTTATATGTGTCTAAGAACTGTTTATGTTGTATTTCCAGAGAAAGTCTGGTTGTAAAAGCTACTGATAATGGGATAAAAATTAACAATAAGAATGTTGGTGGACTTGTTCTGGATGGATTCTACAATCTATGGAAGGACAAGTTATTGTGTGATGTTAAACTTACGGTAAAACTGCTTGCCTTATAATGGTGGAACATAGGTCTTTTATATGTTAAAATGTATAATATATCTTTCATAGAGGGGCGTAAAGGGGGGGGTATCTGCACGGAAGAACGCGAAATAAAATGCCATTTCACGATGAACGAACAACTAAAAATTTCTTGCACGTTGATCTTTTTACCGATTTCACGGAACACAGTGAATAACGAACCTTTTTCACAGCTGCACGTGAAATAAAAATGGCAAAACACGTTGCACGAAAATAACCCTTTACCACCCTCTTCATAATGAAATCCCCTCATGTCCATGTCCAGATTCATATCTAATAAGAATGTAACAGATAGGATAATCTTATGTTTTTATTCATGTGTCTGATATGGAAGTTGCCAGAAGCATGTACATGTATGTACATGTATTGGTGCACCTATTTTTAAGCAAATTCAAAGTTCTTGTTCAGGAAAGTTAACATCAGAGTTAGCATATCGTAGGTGCTACAAGCTGAAACATCAAATAAATTCAACTGCAATGTGCTCCACTTTAGTAATAGTCTTAACAAACAAAAGAGAATGCTTCATGTAAGAAACGATTGTAATCAATTCTTTATTTTCCATTCCAGTGTCACAATGAAGAAATATATGCTCATCGTTCAATGCTGTTGATCTACAGTGACTACTTTAAAGCCATGTTTACTATAGGTTTATCAGAATCGTCACAAACTATGCCACAGATTCAGTTAGATGAAGCCTCACCTGAAGCTTTGAAATCTCTATTACTATACATGTATACAGGATCTTTGTCTGGTAATTAGTAATGTTGTATTGTCTGGTAATTAGTCATGTTAGTATAAAATGTTAGTATATAGAATGAGAAAACCTTTATTAAATATTCATCATGTATCATCTGGAAATTTCTGATTTATCTTAATAGTAACATAGTAGTAGGTGCATGTAAGGCCCTTATTGGCCCCTAATAAATGTATTAAGTCCATTATTTCAAGATGAACAGTGTTTCAAGCTGATTCAAGTACATGTACATGTGAGAAAATAAAACAGGACAATCTTTGTCAAGTTTTCCATATAAAACTTATCCAGTTTCACCACAATTAGATTGGAAATGGAGATTTTAATTAAAAAAAAAAGGTATTACAATTCTTCTGGATTTTAACCACAATCAGGCGTAGGAACATAGATCACAGGTTTCGAAAAACTAAATATTCAAGATTGATATTTCATTTGTTATAACAAACATTATGATAAAAAAAAGATTTTTGTTGATGCATACACTATATGTTTCCAATCCCACAAAAATATTTCCTACCTAGTCATTGTTAAAACTATGATACAATGGATAATGGCCATTAAATACTAAATTGAAAATTAAGCTAGAAATAGGGGGATATTTAGGCTTAGTCGAACATAATTCTTTATTGAGTTCAATGCACTAAACTGGCTACTTATCACAGCTAAGATTTTATGTCAGAATGCATATATAACAGATTTTTAAATGCACAATATCAAACATTTAATTCATGTAACTTTGTCCTGTTCAAGCTTTAGAGTTATCTGCCCTTAGTTTTAATTTACACTGTATAAATTATAAACATACATCGAAGTTTTTGGTGGTATTTGTGAATAGCATTTTATTATAAACTGAGGTAGTAAACCTTTCAAACTAAAGTCTTCTGTTTATGATAAACAATACTTTTTTCATTATTTTTTCAACCCAATGGGTGTTACTTATGTGCCTTCCACTATATATTTTGCAGTTACTAATGACACAGTTCAAGATTTGATCGTGTTAACTGATTTATTACAAATGAGAGATATTAAAGAACAGTGTTTCCAGTACATGGAGAAAAGTTTGGATGTCACCAATTGTTTAGGTTTCTGTTTTATGTGTTTTCTTAAATGTAGTACATGGTTGTAGCTCTAAAATTATACATTAGTTATAAATATATATGTCACATAATATCAAAAACCAAGTTCTTAATTAATAAAAAAGAAATAATGCATGCATATTCGGATAGTAAATGAAATTTTAGTCAACAGATAAGTATCAAAATGAAAATAGAATCACATTGTTGAAGGCTGTACAGTGACCTATAATTGTTAACTTCTACATCATTTGGTCTCTGGTAGAGAGTTGCCTCATAGGCAATCATACCACATCTTATTTTAATATATACAATACGTTTTACATATAATTTAAAGATTTAAAGTTTGGACATTGAAGAAACTGTGAGCCCACTTTCAAGGATGAACGTACATTTCCTAATATTCAACATTGATTATATTTGTAATAGGTATGTGGAACTTTGCAGAGACATATGGAAGTACAACATTGTTAGTGAAAGCTATTTCCTTAGTGAAAAGGAGATTTCCTGTTATAGTCCAGACTGAAGAATTCTTAAATATTACATCATCAAGGCTTGAAAAAATTCTCAAGTTTGAAGATTTATCATTGGGTATGTATAACTATAAGGAATAAGAATCATACCTAGAAGTAATAAATATAAAAAAATAAACAGGTTTGCAGGAAGTCACATTATAAATTTGTGTACAAGCCTCAAGAAAAAACAACTATTAGACATCCAGTATAGACCATGCCTTTATACATTGCAATTTGGAGCATGTCCAGTGTAAAGCATGTTTAATAATTATAGATTTCATAATGAGTGAGGATTGGTTATCAACTCGAGTTATTTAATTTCTATATAATAACACATGAGCCTTTGACGTGTTTATTATTACTATTTAAATCAAATAACGAGAGTTGATATCAAGCTATATACAATTTTCAAGAGTTGTTAAACCTATTTCTCTTCTGGCAAACATTCTCTTAATGCTAATTATAAAATTACGGGAATCTTTGATCTAATCTTTTGCACATACCATTATGAGGTCATATGTTCTAGCATCAAACTTTAATGCCAAACATTTTATATACTTTTTGTAAGCTTCAAAATGTAATAAAATTTGACAAAAAGAAGATTTTCAAGTAAAAAGTGTAAGTATTTTGTATATTATTGAAGAAATCTCCATTGCCATGGACGAAATGTAAATTGTCTTAACCTTTGAAAGTCATCAATGACCTACTGAGTAGCCAATCAGAATGTCGCAATCTCGTCTCATGATGCTGGATAAGCCAATCAAATTAAAGCATTTAAGGTATCATTTTTTTCTATCAAACTCTGTGCAATGTGATATGAGAAATATCTCTTCTTGCAAAAAATAGATAACAGGCTACAACCTTTAGAATGTATAGCATTATGATGCTTCCAAATTTACTACATGAAAGGCCCCCTTTTGATTCAGTTTGATGCTGTAGACCAGATTGATTTTGTACACTAGAATACTCATAACAATATTTTATTTTTAGTTATATTGCAAGTGTAATAGTTTATGAAAGGTTAAACATCTGTCAAATTTGTCTAACTTATGCATGGAGGGGGGAGGGGGGATAAAAAGTGCCAAATGCCTTCTGTCACCCTATTCCCCCCCATACATTTATTTCTAGAACAGTTTTTAAAAGACCTAAATTAAGTTGTGGACTATAATTTTTTTTTTAGTATTAATGAGACATTTTGTCTACCCATAGGTAACAATGGAGAAGATGATGTGTTTAAAGGTGTTGTTAGATGGTTGGAACATGATGTAACTGAAAGAATAAATTATTTCAAAGATATGTTGAAGTTGGTCAAACTAATTCATGTCTCCTCACCAGTTATCAATGAATTAAAACAAATGATGTTTATGCAAGAAAATCTGGGTAAGTTGTTATATTATTTCAGTTTTGTTTTTGTTTATTTGTTTTAACTGGAACAGTTTGTTATTGTTGAAATCTGATGATATCATTATCATAAGAATAAAAAGTTTGAATTGATATGGCAAGTTCACATTCAGATGTCAGTGTAGTTTGTTATCTCCCTTATGATTAATCAGTTTGAGTGTAATCTCCTTTATGATTGATAAGTTTGAGTGTTATCTCCCTTATGATTGATCAGTTTGAGTGTTATCTCCCTTATGATTGATCAGTTTAAGTGTTATCTCCCTTATGATTGACCAATTTGAGTGTTACCCCCCTTTATGATTGATCAATTTGATTGTTATCTCCCTTATGATTGACCAGTTTGAGTGTTATCTCCCTTATGATTGACCAGTTTGAGTGTTATCTCCCTTATGATTGACCAATTTGAGTGTTACTCCCTTTATGATTGATCAATTTGATTGTTATCTCCCTTATGATTAATCAGTTTGAGTGTAATCTCCCTTATGATTAATCATTTTGAGTGTTATCTCCTGTATGATTAATCATTTTGAGTGTTATCTCCTTTATGTTTAATCAGATTAAGTGTTATCTCCCTTATGATTGATCAGTTTGTGTGTTATCTCTCTTATGATTGATCAATTTGAGTGTTATCTCTCTTATGATTAATCAGTTTGAGTGTTATCTCCCTTATGATTAATCAATTTGAGTGCTATCTCCCTTATGATTAATCAGTTTGAGTGTTATCTCCTTTATGATTAATCAGTTTGAGTGTTATCTCCCTTATGATTGATCAGTTTGAGTGTTATCTCCCTTATGATTGATCAGTTTGAGTGTTATCTCCTTTAGGATTAATCAGTTTGAGTGTTATCTCCCTTATGATTGACCAATTTGATTGTTATCTCCCTTAGGATTGACCAGTATGAGTTTTATCTCCCTTATGATTGATCAGTTTGAGTGTTATATCCCTTATGATTGACCAGTTTGAGTGTTATCTCCTTCATGATTGACCAGTTTGAGTATTATCTCCCTTATGATTGATCAATTTGATTGTTATCTCCCTTATGATTGACCAGTTTGAGTGTTATCTCCCTTATGATTGATCAGTTTGGTTATCTCCCTTATGATTGATCAGTTTAAGTGTTTTCTCCCTTATGATTAATCAGTTTGAGTGTTATCTCCTTTATGATTAATCAGTTTGAGTGTTATCTCCCTTATGATTAATCAGTTTCAGTGTTATCTCCTTTATGATTAATCAGTTTGAGTGTTATCTCCCTTATGATTGATCAGTTTAAGTGTTATCTCCTTTATGATTGATCAATTTGAGTGTTATCTCCCTTATGATTGATCAGTTTGGTTATCTCCCTTATGATAGATCAGTTTAAGTGTTTTCTCCCTTATTATTGACCAGTTTGAGTGTCATCTCACTTATGATTGACCAGTTAGAATGTTATATCCCTAATGATAGATCAATTTGAATAACATTTGTACTTTGAAAAAAAAGGGCATTTGTCTTCCTGCTAACTGCGTTCTGATGTTCTAGCACCCTAAAGTACTGCAACTACAGTAGGCTAGCACAAAGCAGTCAAAGTTGTACATACTGCCTTTGGTTTTCTTTTCTTTTTTTATTATTATTCAATTTATTGTCTAATTTTTTTTATGTACATGAAAGACTTTCTCCTAGTATTATTCCTAAATTCACAAACACATATTTTGGCCTATTTGGTTTATACATTACATTTTGCAACTAAATTTGCATATAGAATTATGGCAACTCAAAACTTTCCACTCTTTACTAGGCTGCTGGTTTACTACAACAAATTTGCTGCTGCTCTTTGTCGTCTGTTTGGCCTTTCCCCCTGTTCCGGCTTTTGGTGGCACATACTTTTATTTTCTTTTTTCTTTTTAAATTTTTCATATTTTTGACTATTTTTATATATATTTAGTTTTTTTTAATCTATCAATTATCATATATGAATTTATTTATTGATTTATTTTTGATCAAATTTTTTTATTTTTACATAATTGTGTTATAGTTTTGTCTATCAAAAGATATAAAATACCATAAATTAAACTAAATTTTTTAAATGCCCAAAATGGTGTAAGCCAGGGCCGAATGTGTGAATGCTTTTTAGCCAGTCAAGGTTGTTAAAAACACCTATCGTCATCATCTTTGAAACTAAATTTTAAGAATAGCATGATTTCTAATATTTATGGACATGATTTGGGAACGAGCTGCAAGAACATAAAAAGATCAAATTAGATTGAACTGAAAACACTTAATATTTTCTTATCAATAACACACCACAACTTTCTCAGAAGAAGTAAGAGTGTACTAATAATAACTGAATATCCAGCTACTTACTGTCACTTCAAACAAATTATAAAAAACAGCATTTAGTTCTTATATTTAGAACTTTAAAATTACATGAATTAAATGAATATAATATTTTGAATCTGAAAGTAAAATTTTAATTTTTAAGCATAAAACTTCTGCAGAAATTATGTAGTGATGTTAAAGCAGAATATCAACCCATGTAAAACAATTATACAGTATATAGGTATACATTTAATTTCTAAAGGCTTATATAATTTAAAATATAGATTGAGGCATCCATTTTTTTACAGTGCTTCCTTGCTATATTACCCCTCATTAAACCACTTAAACTTCTCTAGACCAATTATAACCACAATCATGTATTTTGTAGTGTGTCTTTCTATGTTGTGATGTTACACTATTGTTTCAGATAAGGGTGATGGTTTGGTACCATTAAAACGTTTAAACCCGCTGCAATTGTTTGCACCTGTCCAAAGTCAGGAATCTGATGTTCAGTAGTTGTCGTTTGTTGATGTGGTTCATAAGTGTTTCTCGTTTCTCGTTTTTTATGTAGATTAAAACCGTTGGTTTTCCGGTTTGAATGGTTTTACACTAGTCATTTTTGGGGCCCTTTATAGCTTGCTGTTCGATGTGAGCCAAGGCTCCGAGTTGAAGACTGTACTTTGACCTATCAGACATGGGGTACTTGAAATATGTAATTGTAATTAGCTGTAATCAATTACAATTTCTCAAGTAATTGAATGTAATGTGTAATTGAACATTTTTTCAATTACAAGTAATTGAAAGTAATGAATTACAAAGCCAAAATTGTCTGTAATTGACAATTACTTTTCAATTACAACTCAATTACATTTGAAATTTGGGATCAGAAAGATTGAATCTTGTGTTTTCTCAAAAAATTATGAAATGCCATGACCTTAGAAAATGTAGTTAGCTGACAAATCAAAGCCTACACAGTATACTTTCTGTAATTACACAACCATGGAAGATTCTTTATTTTGTAATGAATGAACAAAAAATTAAAAAGAAAACAAAATATTGTAGAAACATGCCATAATTTGTGTTTAAAAGAAACTATTAGTTAGTCACTGTCTTATACCTTAATTAGCTTGTTACCTACATGTATATTCAGATGGATATTGTTAGACATTGATTTAACATAATCAATTTGAAAGGTCATAAGTCAATCAATAAATATAACCTCTGTCTATTTGTTTTATCATAAACTATATAATGACTGTTTTTACAACAGTTATGTTTGCATGTTAAACAGGCGTTAAGCCAATTAGAGAGAGATAAATATACCCCTAGGTACATGATTTTTTTTAAATTAATTAATTGTGATTAAAACTACATTATATTTCTTAAAAAGTCAGACTTTCTAAATCATTTCTTTAGGAAAAATAATTTTAATAAGTTGTGATCAAAATAAAAATAATAAAATTTTATCTATAGGGCTCTCTTCTTGTATCATTTTCAATGAAATACATTAAAACATAAAATTTCAATAGGTAATTAAACAAAATTTAATATTTTCCAAATATTGAATAAGGCTTTTTATCATTTTGCGCATTAAATTAAACCAGACATCTAGTCTTAACGATTCCTGATAGACAAAGTATTATGTGCACTTCAGATTTATGTTTGTTTTTTCTTTATTCCCATAACACACCAGATATTTAACTTTTACTCTTCTTTGATACTGGCCGAATTTGAAAATAGTCACTGTAGATCTCATTTGTTATTACTATAAAGCAATGTATGATAATTATGTACATATGATGGAATAAATGCATGTTCTAAATTTTCCTTTCAAAAGTAATTGAAGTAATTAATTACATTTGCCAAGTAATTGGAAAGTAATTAATTACATTGTCAAAAAAAGTCAAATGTAATGTGTAATTTAATTGAAGATTTTGTAATTGTAATTGAATGTAATTAATTACTTTCAAAAGTAATTGACCCCATGTCTGTGACCTATATTGGTTTACTTTTATAAATTTTGACTTGGATGGAGAGTTGTCTCATTGGCATTCATACCACATCTTCTTCTAACTATGTATAGGGTATGAAGTTTCAAGATATATTGGATTTTCTATTGTTGAACACTGCAGTTGTTATTGTATATATTTAAACATATCTGTAAAACATGCAAAATTGTAATTAATAAAGGTAGTAAAAATTACATGAAAACTTTGTTTTAGATACTGTAACTTGACTGTTAGTGTATCTGTCCTGAGGCCAACAAGTTCTAACAAATTGTTTTACAGTCATCCGGGGGATTAAGCAGTTGTCAATAAGATATAAACTGTCTGTTGAATATGTGTTTATACAAAATAATTATTTAAAACAAAGCTTCTCCTTTGAAACTTCATATCAGGTCAAAACTAGCTAGACCTGAATGTACTGATTAATTATCACAAAAGAAATTTAGGCTCATTTGGACCTCTAGATTGATGTTTTTCTAGATGGTGTATTAAGTGTGATGAATTTTGACATGTTCATCATATAGTGCCAAATAAACCCAAATAAGAACACAGTTCAGACATCCATAAATATAGTAAAGAGTAACTTTATAATGATTTTATTTCAGAAATAATGACGTCAATTAATTTCCAGAGAAGTACTGATACAGACTGTCCACCGAGGCATCCAATACAATGTATTTATGTTGTTGGGGGTTACCTTCAGTCTAGAACAGGGTAAGTTAACTGAGTCATCTTTGAAAATTTGGTTGTGTCATCAAATGCACAATGAGACAGCAACCCGATGACACAAATAACAAAAACACATCTAGAAATCTACATACAGTTTTCAACAATAGACAGGTGTCTATACAATATGTTAAGCTGTTTATCATCCTGAGCAACAAAAAAAAAGAGAAAAAATAGAAACCATCAAGCATTAAATATTTGTCGCTGGACGACTAGCAACAATCATAAATATTTGATGCTGGATGACTAGCAACAATCTTAAATATTTGATGCTGGATGACTAGCAACAATCATAAATATTTGATGCTGGATGACTAGCAACAATCATAAATATTTGATGCTGGATGACTAGCAACAATCAATGAAAGATCAACTATTAACACCAAATTATACAAATATCAAAAATGACAACCACTGACGAAGCTGCTGACTTTTAATATTGACATCACATGAGTATGTGACAAAGTTAAACAATTTTAAGATCTAACCCTCCCTATTTAAATTTGATCAGTTAAGTAACAAAATTTACATAAAAATTAAAATAGGAAAATCCATTTACTCTTAAATAACAATGAAAGAGATAACAAAAAACACATCTCAGCCAAATAATTATATTGCATAAAGAAATGCTCACAGCTGCTCTTAGCAAGACTAAAGTACTTACCCCACTGATACTTATCCAAATGGGAAATAATAAAACAATAGGGAACAAAATATAACAAAGGGAAAAAATGTAGACTACATGGATGAAGGTTTTATATAACCTCATCTTAAACTGAAGCTTAGGGCAGTACACACCATTAGAGACTCCACTCACTCCAGGTAATCCCAAAAGATACAACACCTGTAAACATATGAAAGTCCACAACCTGTATAAGACTAATTTCATGATACATCCAGCACTTTTTACAAGCAGGTGACTATTGTTGTCTGTTTGATAACTATGAAAAAGTCAGCAATGTATAGGTAAGGCATAGGTTCATGTTTTATGTCTGACTTGGATATGGTAGGGACTAGAGATAGTGACAGTATGACCATAATTGCTGTGAGTCTTCTGCAGGGAATGAGGTAGGGAGCTTGTACAGTGGTTCATAATTGAAACTTGTGTTCAATGTTTTAAAGAAAAATCCCTCTATTGTTTATGCGCACATAGAAGTGCAGCAGTATTATGCTGTCAATGTTTTGTGACGTCACAGTTTCCACGAACTGGAAACGTTTATGAGAGTGATTCCTCTTTGATCTGATGAAGGAGAATGACAATCGTTTAACAAGGTTGATTTGCCGAAAAGAAAAGAAATTGTCCTCAGATTATGGACGAGTTCCTAAATTGAAAAAAAAAATGTTTTGTTTGTTTTCGTTATTCTGGAAGAACAAAACAATTAAGGAAACATAAAAATATGCATATTTAAAAGAAGTATACAAAGTATACAAAGAAAAAAGAATGAAATTACGAAAAAGCAAACAAACAAATGTCTCAAGAGGAGCTGGTTATGTTCTATGTTGAAGGAATAAGCCTTCCTTTTTATACGAATAAATGGAGACGAGTGGTATACGTCAACTATACAGCCAATCCAACAAACAAACAAACAGACTGTCAAGAGATAAAATCGAAACTATAAATTTGTCAGCAAGATGGGTCACTCAATTTTAAAGATAACAATGATTTTCTTTACTTCATTCTTGTATTCACTAATCTATTCTTAAGTGTCAATAGTTATAGCATGCGTTTAATTTTTTCTTCTTCTAAAATTATTAAGAAAGTAAATCATCAATCCTGTGATTTAAATTCAAGGTATCTATAGCAGTCATATGTATGATATTGAAAATTGCACTGAGGTATTTTGAATGTGTATGGCGTTTGCATTTCTATAATTATAATAAATTTCGAATTAACGCCAACAATACAGTAACCCAACGACGCATACATGTAACATAAAGTACATCTATATAGTAAACATTATGGCCCTATAACACTGTGGTTTTCTTTTTTTTTATTTAACCATTTTGTTCCAATTTGTTCAGTTTCAACGCTTGTGAACTGGCACATCAACATTTTCAGGTACCAGTTATACAATATACTGTACACAACATAAACCACTACGCGTCTTTGTTCAGTATAGAAGTTGTCGGAAAGAAGAATTATAGAGGAATCCATATGAATAAAAATCATTGCACAAGAGCTTATATGAAAGAAAAGAGGTCGGACCAGGTTCCCATGAAATTTATTTCACGCAAGAGTCAAATAAACAAAATCACAGAATAACAGCTGAATATGTGTGTACTAGCTTAGACTGAGAATCTGGCAACATTGTAGCATATTTCTAAACAATGTTATAAAATTATAAATGCCTACAGATGACCTAAAATAGAAATTATGTCAAAATTCGGTTAATTTTAAGTAATTATTGTCAAAATGAAAAGGATGGACATTCTAAACCAAAATTGAAAATATATCAAAAGCAAAGCTCTGCCGTCTTGTCTTTCAGATATACTTTAACAGAATTATATTCCTTTGATGCAAAATTCTACGAAAAACATGTTAAATTTGCAATATTGAACACACTGATAACATATTTTGAAGAATCCTATTCCAATAGACTAGTAGTCACTGTAGTGTATTTGTAATTTTCCTGACATATTTTAAAGATAAAGCTGGCACATTTGTTCTGCAGAGGTTTTATAAATAAATATACCGATTCACGATACAACGTATGCATATTCACTGGAGCTCATCCCTGTAGTTCAACATAAAACAAAGTCTAAGAGATTCCTGATCTCCTTTCACTATCTTTATACTGGTAGTCAATATTCATAAAATTTGTACTTTTACATGGCTTCTCCCATAATTACATAAAAAAATCTTTGTTGCTTAAAAAAATGTTTTTTCAAAACATCAACATTCTTATTAACTAAATCAAGTTTTCATTCTAGATATTCGTACGATGCATTGTTTTTGACTTACCACTTTTAAATTACTTGTCTACGCTAAAAAATTAACTACCATCATGTGTATATGAATGTTCATTTAGTGTAACGGAAAACAAACAACCAACAAAACAGCAAATATGTTTTGTAAATAGGAATTGAATTGTCCATAACCTGTGAAAACATCGCCAATTTGGCCTAACGTCTTTCGACGTTTCAGAATTGGCACAATGTATTCCCCGCCAATTCAAATGTTTAACGTCTATTTAAAAGATATCATGTTTCCAGTACAGTGACCCTACGTTTTTATTTCCTTAATTTGTTTAAAAACAAACAATGCATATTCTATGGAAATTTTATCTAGGAAACATTGGTCAATTGTTTTAAAATTTTGATTTTTTTATAGATATTTCACCACAAAAAAGGCGGGAAAATTATTATAGCAACTCTTTGTTATCATTTGTCCTCAAGAAGATGACAAGATCAATAACATAATTTCTACAAACAACAAGGTTAACAAAATAAACAATTTTTATGTGATACAGACTTTTTATAAAATGTTACACTGCTAATAACTACAAATCCCGATTTCCAAATTCCACGAAAAACATGGCGTTTTGAATCTAAAACGAGGTCAGTGACCCCATTTTTTTATTGGCTTATTTTAAAGCTTTTACCTCGCCAAACCTGAAAATAAAATTTAAAAAAGATATTATTGGTAGATCTGAATAGAAGGATTTGTCTTTAAGTCATCAGAACCTCTTAAAATATCCTAAGTGAACTTTGAGCTTTGAAAATTGTCTTTGTATTTTATCTTTCGTTATCATTTCCATGACTATAGTATAGAGTGGTAAATGGCAAACAAAATTCAATCAATTAACTATTTTTATATTACTTTTAGTCCAATGTGTCCAAGATTAAAAACAGTAGAAAGATATGACTTCAAAGACAATGTATGGAAAAATTCAGAGACTTTACCAGTGTTAGCATCAGGTGTTCAAGTTTTTAATATTCATGGAAAATTGTTCACTACTTCATTTGAAATGAGTCATGGAGATAGTCTCATGCCTGATGTATCATCTACCCCAGGTTTTTATGAATATGACAATATACAAAACATATGGAAAGATGCAAATGATTGTTTTGCTCCAAGTGCTGCTAAAGTTATACACAACTGTTTACAAAAGAGTGGATCTTTAGCTGTGTGTCCAAGGACCAATAAAATTTACATTTTGTCAGATATAGATATATACTGTATCGATAGCTCAGTTAATGATGGAGAAGTCAGCTTCAGTGAAGCGGAACAGTTACCAAGTCTACAAGAGTTTGAGTCCTACTCAAATCATGCAACTGTGATACATAAAGATAATTTGTATGTCTTAGGAGGGGACAGAAGAATATCAGCATCGGAAATATTTCCTGTGGCATCTGTTTTTATGTTTGATTGCTCTGAAAATAAATGGATAACCAAAACTAGTATGCAAGAACCAAGAGCTAGATTTTCTGCTGTTCTCATGGGTCAGTGAATAATAGTTATTTTATTGGTAAAATTGCAATTTTGATATTGTCTGTTGCAGAAGGGGGAACACAGTTGTTACTTTTCTTGTTTCAATATTGTTGTAAAACATAAATGTGAAGTATTCTGATTTGTTCCTTTTCAGAGTTATATTTTCTCTACTGTTGCATTCATATTAAAAGATCTCAAGTTTAAACTTGTTTTAAGTCAGGATAAAGTATTGGTTTTTTCTGAGTTGTTCTTCTGTAGACTATATGGCTAAACAATCATTTTCATTTACCAATTAAATTTGAGCTCACCTGGCCAAAAGGTATATTTAAGCAGATTAAATCATGAACAACACATATTATGAATGATTTGTGCTTTAAAAGTAGTTAAAAAACAATGTTGTCACTGTCCATATATAGGACACCATGCCCGCTCATGCTGTCACATTTCTATGTTTAGTGAACCGTGAAATCTGGGTCAAAACCCTAATTTGGCATATATTATTAAAATTTTCCTTTATAATGAACATAATAAGTTTCAAGTTGATGGCATGGTGACCACAACGTCATGATATACCACCTCAAACAAAATCTCAAATCTGATACAAGGCGTACAGATGAACACACTTACTAGAAAACTTAGTTCCCTCCTACTATTGTAGGCGAGACATAAAAATCATGTGGCATAACATATTAACAATAAAAGCATAATATATCAAAATCAAGCATGACTATATGATGCTCATCTTTTTAAGCACATTTGACCAATATTGACCATGTTAGCTTAGTTCTCCCCAGATATTTCATATAGCATCTTGGTAAACAGGGTAATTTGAAATACTATCTTGTTTCTAAAATTTATAGCATCACATCCATAACACAGTCTATAAGAAAATAATTTCATATATAGATCTGTCATTAACATGATTAACTTTTGGAAAAAAATCTGAAAATCTGAAAGTGCTAATAATGACAACTAAATATTGCATCATTGATTCTAAGAGTATATTAGCTTCTCCTCCTGAACACATAATCCAAATTCAATGAAACTTTTTCATTACCTTCACCATATTGCACCTATTGTTTTTTAATTTGAGTTATTATTGGGGTTTCCCTATCAAATCCTGGACTAATTTGAACATATGTATAGCAGATCTTGACATTTAAAAAAGTAGGATTTTCTAGTAATCATTATTTCCCTTGGAACAGTTTTACACTTGGCTGTTTTCACCTTGTAACTGCCAATAATGTTTTGTTGCTTGTACATAAAAAATGATTTTAATTGGTATCAAGTACAAAAATGAAAATATATGCAGTCAAGATACACAAGACATGAAAGACAACATCCCAAACATGCCCTGGTATCAATTTTCAAGTGCAAACAAGCTATCAACTGAAGGTCATAACATCATCTTTAGTATATATTTATGTGAAACTTTTAAAAGCTTAAGTACTGTGTATTTCTTTTTATTATCAGTACTGTAGTTTGGGGATAGTATAATGTCAGATAAAAGATCTTAGATATTAACCTATATTACAATAGTTTTATTTTCCACATTAAGCTGATTTGAATCAATAAGCCTCTGCACGATAACTTTCTACTTTTTTTCTCAAAGGAATGAAGTTAATAATACAAAATATAGTTTGATTTTCCCATTTATTTTAAAGCACTGATTATAGCTTAATATTTGACTGCAGTAATAAAAAAACAAAATTTTAATCCACAGTTTTAACTTTAAGATGACAAGATGTGAGATTAAGGCTAACCATTAATTCAAATTCTTAATCTCTACTTCTTTATGGCATTGTTGATTTTTTTTGTTCATATAAAAAAGAAGATGTGGTATGATTGCCAATGAGACAACTCTCCACAAGAGACCAAATGACACAGAAATTAACAACTATAGGTCATCATACGGCCTTCAACAATAAGCAAAGCCCATACCGCACAGTCAGCTATAAAAGGCCCCGAAATGGCAATGTAAAACAATTCAAAACGAGAAAACTAACGGCCTAATTTATGTATGTTTACTTGCTAGCAGAAAGAGATTAACAGTGTTTTCCATTTCCAATATCTTGAATATAAACTGCAGTTACTGAGAAAAAATATTTGCAGAAATAAAAGCCACCTTGGAAAACAAGAAGGTGATTGTTTTTGTCTTTTTTGTATAATGGTACATTGAAGTCAAAACAACCATGAAAACAAGTGAAAGATTATTAAAACACTGTATCTTGAATTTTTTAATGTGTCTGAAGATACAGAGATATGGAGTAAATCATAATAAGAATTCAAAGTATAATAAATTGCTTCGCCGAGTGCAGCTAGATACGACCGCAGAGGTCCAACCCTGAACAGTTTGGGCAAAAATGGACACAATATTCGTGCTTGATACAGGTCTGAATTTGGATTGTAATTAAATATTTGACACATAATAGGTTTCTGACACAGAATAACTGTAGTCAAAGAACTTAGAATTGGTTATATGATTTGAATTGATATTCAATTTTTTTGCTTTTGTTCAATACACTATGCTGTTGCGAATTATACCCTTCCCCCCCCCAAAAAAAAAATTAAAAAAATTTGTACCCCCCTTTTTATTGCTTTTGTGCAATACACTATGCTGTTGCGAATTGACCCCCCCCCCCCCCTTTTTTTTGCCAAGAAATTTCCAATGGAGTTTGCAACCATAATTACCCATTTAAATACATCATATACCGGTAAGTCTTAAAATAGAAAATGACATACATAATCATGTCTAAAATTAATATTCCTTAATCAGCATTTTTAATAGTAACTTCTAAAAATAAATTGACAGCTAATCACCTCAAGACAATACAACATTTCTTTATACATAATTTAAAAGCAGTGTAAGGGAGGTAATCCAAACACAAAACATTGTACTTGAAAGAAATTGTCCATTAACAAGGAAACCCTTGTTTTTCACCCTTTTTTGCCCCTAATTCCTAAACAGTTTGAGCCATTACCCTCCAAAGCCAATCCTAACCATCCCTTTGTGGTATGGAAACTTGTGGTATAATTTCAGAGAGATCCATACACCGTTCCACAAGTTATTGTCTGGAAACTAGAAAAGTGCCTATTTAGGCCCCTTTTTGGCCCCTAATTCCTAAACTGTTAGGACTATAACCCCCAAAATCAATCACAACCTTCCTTTTGTGGTTATAAACCTTGTGTTTAAATTTCATAGATTTCTATTTACTTATACTCAAGTTATTGTCCGGAAACCAAATGTCTTTGGACGATGCTGACGACGAAAAGTGATACCAATATACGACCGCAAAATTTTTTGCGGTAGTATAAAAACATGAATTTGCCTAATCCTGCTCCAAAAATATGTCATAAATTTTACTTTATATGGGAAGATGTTATGGATGTAAATTCTAATTTATTGTATTGTCATGGTTAAAAAAAAGCTTTTCAGAATCATTTTATTTGGTTATTTTTGTCATTGGGTTGCTGTTTCATTGACCTATATTCCCCACATCTCCTTTTTAGCTCGTGAACCTAACCCAAAGGGTCAAGTTAGCTATTTCATCACTTTATGTCCGTCTTCATTGTCTGTCACTGTTACTTTTACAAAAATCTTCTCCTCTGAAACTACTTGGCCAAATGGAAACGAATTTGGCCACAATCATCATTGGAGTATCTAGTTTTAAAAATTGTGTCTGTTGAAGCTGCTTGCCAACCAATATTGCTGACATGGGTAGTAAACAGCTGCGCCATGAGCGCATGATATGCCCGTAATGTTTTCTAAGAATAAAGTTCAATAACTTCTCAATGTCATATCAGAAATTTATGAAAAACTAAAGGGAGGTTATCTTAATAGATATAAACCAGGCACCAATGTTTAATGAAAACTGCACAAAGCACTTTTAAGGTATTGTCCGAAAACTGGAAAATCCCCCTTTTTTTAATGAATAAAACCCAATAACTCGGAAACGTAAAATCTAAAATTTCTAAAAATCAAAAGGGAGCTTACATCAATAGATATAAACAATTCACCAAAGTTTCATGAGAACTGCTGAAAGCATTTTTGAGTTATTGTCGGAAAACTGGAAAATCCCCCTTTTTTTAATGAATAAAACCCCATAACTCTGAAACGCTATATCTAAAATTTAAAAAAATCGAAAGGGAGCTCATGTCAATAGATAAAAACAATTGACCAAAGTTTCTTGCAAATTAGAGAAAGTATTTTTGAGTTATTGTCCGAAAACTGGAAAACCCCCCTTTTTTTAATGAATAAAACCCCATTTCTCAAAAAATGTAAAATCTAAAATTGATGAAAAACGAAAGGGAGCTCACGTCAATAGATATATACAATTCACCAAAGTTTTATGCAAATTGGGTAAAGCGTTTTTGAGTTAGTGTCCGACATGTTGACGAAGGACAGACAGACGGACGGATGGACAAAGGTATACCATAATACGTCCCGTAAATGGGCGTATAAAAATAGAACATAGGGTAAAATGCATTTTTTGTCTATTATTTTGACAACTGCTATAGAAAATCTGACAGGGAAAAGAATGCATGCCATTTACATCAAAACTGTTACAGACAACTAATAGGAGTTATTGCCCTTGAATATCAAATTTTACCATCTTTTTATCATTATTGCCAATTGCTTGAAAACTAAAATAGATAAAGAAACTTTTAACAGCAAGCTTGATCAGCAAGACAAGATATACAAATAACTTCTCATGGCAAAAACAGTCAGACAACTCCTTATGGGAGTTGATGTCCCTAAAAATAGGATTTTTACAAAAAAAAAATATTTTTGTATCTTATTATATTGAAAAAAGGTCAGTAATACAACTACTACAAATAAGTCAACATGGTTGAAACTGTCAAGACGACTTATTGTAGCATGATTTTATAAATAGTTTATGTTGTTGCCTATTATCTTTTAAACTATAATAAATTGAGAGAAATTTAGAATAGCAAAATTGATCAGCAAGATAAGATTTTCAAATAGGTCAAATTTCCGAAATCTTCAGTCAACTCCTTATTTGAGTTATTGCCCTTTTTTGACAATTATACAAATTGTATGTGTTTTGCCTATTATCTTGAAAAGTTAAATAGAATGTGAGAAACTTTAAATAGCAAAAATCAACAACTAGGTCAACAAAGCCTATATTGTCAGTCCACTTCTTATAAGAGTGACTGCCCTTCAATGATGATGTTAACCAATTTTGTATTTTGGCCAAAATTATAACAAATATGGAGAAATTAATTAAAAACAAATGGTTAGCAATGATGAAAAAAAAGAGATCTTAGTCATGAATTACGGTATATTATAGTGTACAATGTTGAACGGTGGCCTTGTTGAAGATCAAGGTGAGCGACATATTCTGGTACTCTTTAGAGCCTCTAGTTTCATATCTTGCTTGTTGATTTGACAAAATGAATTGACTGTGTAAATTCTATGGGGAAAACAGTGTTTCTTTAATATTGCAAAGTATAATAGTTAAGTGCCAGTAGCCTTTATTTGCAGTAGGCTCATAACTGAATTGATTTATGCTTTTCTTTTTTTTCAGATGATTATATCTATGCAGTAGGTGGGTTTAATTCAAGACGTTTACGTTCAGTTGAAAGGTACGACCCAGTTACAGACACTTGGAGATATATTGAGAGTATGAATAAAGAAAGATCCCATTTTAAATGTGTTGTTCACCTAAACAATATTTATGCTATGGGAGGTGAGTTGAAAATGTTAAATACAAGATTATTTATTCTGGATTTATATATTTCTGTGTTTAGTTGTCTGTTCAACTGTTATTCAAGGGTTTTTTTGTTTTTTTTTAACCAAATTTTTATTGTTTTTCTGTTTAAAGTTCATCTGTTTTCTCTTTCTAGATATAAGTGATTATAATTTTCTTTACAGGTAAATCCTACTCTAGGTATGAAGGTGGAGCAAGGAAAGTGTTGAGTAGTTGTGAAGTTTATGATCCTGAAACAGACATGTGGATATATATAGCACCAATGAACCAGGCCAGGTGTCTTTTTGGTGCTGAATTGTTTTAAATCTACAATTTGAACTATTTGATACTGTGCTGGCACAAAATCTTTTGCATAAAGGGGAGATAAACATTTATCAAGTAATGATACATTTATAGTTTACTGCATATATTTTTTCTGCTGTCACCTTGACCTGACATAAGTTCAACAGTTTATTTGTTTTTATGATATTAAATGATACTGTTACTTTTTTTTTTATTTTTGTCTAAAAAGTTGTGAAAGACAGAAACATGTATTTTTTTCCCAATTTTATTGTTGAAAAACAACAAATATGTAATAAAACTTAGAAAAGTACATGTACAGTGCAAGAGATTTCAATGATTTCATTAGCTTTAATATGGAAAGAATGTTATATTGGATGGGTTCTACAATCCATTTGAATACTAGACTGCCTAGCTTGTTTTATGGTTTTGAGCTTATCTAGAAAACTTATATTCACCAATGAAAGAGGGTCTGGATGGGGTTCCTTAATTTCTGTATTCTCTAAAGCTTTAGGACATTTTTCTATATCTTTAAAGATAATGCTTATTTTGTAAAATTGTCATGAAAATGATTTTTACAATTAACTTTTTCTGTAATTAGATGATTACTTTATTCTGTACATCTTTCATTCCTGTAATCAGTATTTTATTAACTATTATTTTATTTTCCACAGTTATTCTTTACTCTTTTGCACCTAAGTATTCTCTATTCTTTATATTAATTATTTTTTTTGCCACTATTCTCCATTCTTTAAACCCCATCCAGACCCTCATAAAACATGAAAAGATGTACAGTTCAGATTGAAATGTACAACTTACAAACATTCTCTTCATCTTAAATAGTTGACCTGTAATTTGTAGTATCTGAGAAACTAACCTAATCATGAAAATTTAACATAATAAACCATGAAATGAGGTAAAGTTGATGTGTACTCTTTCTCATGACCTTGTATGTACACCTTGCAATGATTCTATGTACCAAATATAGTTTACCTATAACTCATAATTGGAAAATCGTGTGATTAAAAAACAATAGTTTTTATGCTGTCTTTGAACCATGAAAATTAGGTCAAGGACAACAGATATATTCCAGATAGAAAGTTAAGACCATAAAGAATCAATTAACAAGATATTGATTATCAAGCTCTTTTTACCATGTCAAATATAAAGCTTTATAGAAAAGTATACTCCAGCAGCCATTAGATGAACATCCCTATGTCACACATCGTTGCAGGTCAGACAATGAAAATTATCATTTCTTTGATGTTTGTTTTAATGTAGTTATGTGTACCACTCTTCCAAATACTGTATTTATATGTCAGATAGAGTTGCTATTACATGTACAACCACTCGGAAATAAAAGCAATCATTTGTCATCAAAACTCAAGAATTCATGTAATATATAAAATAATGTAATATGACAATTGAAATTTTATTTTGCCTGATGATATACAAATAAAAAAAACCACAAACAACATAATAAAAATATAAAAATAAAACAAGTTTTGTTTAAAACAAGCACCTTATTCAATCACCACTTAAAAACTACAGTCATAAAACATTTGCATCTGTGATGGACATTTATTCAATATATATTTCATTTAAACCTTTTTACAAATTATTATACATTCATATTGAGTTGGATTTTATAGTTGGCTAAAGTAAAATAAAAAAAATAAAAAATTCTTCTTTTTTTTTAAATATTTCTATGGTCTTTGATGGTTTTAATTTTTTTATGTTTTTTTAAAGCATAGTTGAAGACTACCTTCCTTTCTTGGTTTTTTCAGTTGAGCAAGTCTCATTGATATATGCTCCAAATCTTCTTTATTTATATTGAAAGCTTATATTAAATATTCAGTGAATAAATGTAAAATCACAAAAAACTGCATCCACAGACTGCCATCTTACTACATTTGTACTAAAGCTGAACACAAATGAAAAAAATCTGTATATAGCCAAAGTTTCTCATTTGATAATTCCCCAATTTATTTTGTATCAAACCCTTCTTTTTTAGAAATTTGTTTTTTAAAGTTTTTTGTAATCCTTTTTTTAATAAGAAATTTCACCACTTAAAGCAGAATTTGTTTAGTCTTCTTCTAGTTCAAAATTCTTCATCGAGAACAGCAATTAAAGCACTGTTCCTGTGTATTAAGTTATTCATGTTTTCACAATATTTCATGACACATGAAGCAGTTTCCAATGAATATTTGTGAACCCCTATACCCCTCTATTCACTAATAGGTGCCTTCACTCTTTAAGTTATTAGCATTGTATCTTCTAGAAACTTCAAGATGACGAGCAGCAATATAAGTGCTTTTCTTTTGATAATTGGTTTTGCCAGTAATGCATGAGAATTTGTCATGTAAATCCAACCTGTACACCTGTATATCAAATGTGAAACTTTTGTTACAATTTACTATCAATATATAATAAAGGATATACAAAAACTAAACTTTAAAGAAACTATTACTGGAAACTGCAAACAAATATGTTTTTAAATGTCAAAACTTCATGAAAATCAGGAAGGGAATGACTTCAAGATGATTTCTTATGATTTAAATAAGGAAATAATCAAATGTTATAAAGCTTTAGCCACATACTGCACTTTCTACTGATATAAACACCGACACTTTTATGAATGTGGTATATGTTTCTTGTATTATAGAAGTCATATATAATCATGTTTTCTTAGTGACAGAATAGATATGCAAATTTCATTCCAAAATGTTTAATTCTTTTGAATAATAAATTGAAGTATCAAAGTTCACAAAATTATGTACTCAAATGCATTGAGTGAAATTAGGATTTCAATTAAAAACTACTAACTTTTAATAAAAAAAAGAAGAGCATATCAAGCAAGGGAAATAACTCACGATTCCAAATACTGCAAAATCATGATTACAAGTATGCAGATTTGAAAAGAACTTACTATTTTGCTAAGTGCTACAATAAGATTGCATTCTTACAATAGGATTTTGTTGAATATTGCTTGTATTACAAAAGGTTGACAAAAACATACTGATACTTGTACTAACATGTATAATAGACATGTAACATGAACATACTAATAAGTTTGTAGAAAATACTAATAAATAATACCTGAGAAACATTTTTGGGTAGTTGAAGTTGCCTTTATGGCTAACTAAGCACGCATGAAGTAATTTTTGAAATTGCCCAGTCATGGAATGAGAATGTCTACCTTTTGATAAATATTTCAGTGATATATATTTGGATTTATCACATTTTCATTTAAGTACCACACAATGGCATCTCCTCATATATGCTAAATAAAGACACACATACACATTACACACATAGATAAAGATTTTACTATACAGAACATTGTTTACTTTAATGATTTATAAAACATCTTTTTGATTCTAATAAATACTGAAAAAACCCAACAGAAGTAAATCTATTTATACTCTAGATCTCCTTAATGTTTATCAAATGTTTTTAAAGGTAAACCACTATCTGAATTGCAAATATCCATCTTTACCTGTTGGCTGCATCAATGAAATATTTTTTTCTATTCAAACACATGTAAATATTTTAGCATTGTACCCCGTTTAGACAGAATATTTATGTATTTATATATGGACCTTTTGAATCTGAAGTAAGATTATCTTATCTTATCTTATACTTTCTTCATGTAAACTTTAATTTTTTTTCACTATATATGGTTAGGCCAAAAAAAATATATGTCTGTTTAAGGTTACATACTTTAAAAAAATAGGGTAGGTAGGTCGGTATTTCCATTTTATTTTATTTTTTGTGAAATGATTTTGAGTCATGCCGTTTCGACTTGTCGTGGTCCGAGTTGATCATTGCCCGAGTTTACCTGTATTTTTGATGATTGGATTATTTCCCTTGGAAAAAAAATGGCTGCAAAGTGTTTATTTCATCACACGAGTTGCGAATTTCCTTAAAACAGTTGTCATATTCACGATTGTGAACATTGGGATGTATCAGGCAATTGATTTATATCATTTGCAACACTTAACTTCGCTTTTGACACGAGTTCAGTTTATTTTTCACTTTACGACGGAAATAAAATGACTTAGGGTCGGCGCTCAAAAGTAGGGTAGGTCTGGTAACCGTAAACAGACATATATTTTATTTTGGTCTTAAATACAATTTTGAAGGAATGTTATCTTGGCTTACTCACTGAGTCCACAGACTTTGTAATATCTTTGTCAATGGAAAGCCAAGTTCGCACATTGATAAATTCATATCTATTTCTTATAATTCCTTTGAAGAAAAAGGCAAAAATGCTCATACAGTAAATGAAATTTTCAAAATTTTACTTCTTTAAAAGACATTTTTTATTTTTTTTCACTATGTTCAGAAACTGAAAAAGTTTAAATGAAAATCAATGCAGGTATTTGCAAAACAAAGAAGCTAACAATTTCTTAGGGTCTGAATGAAAAAAAATATTGAGAGGCATTTAGAAAATCCAAGGCTAAAAAAAACACCTAAATAGCTGAAAAGTTACTGGTACTTCCAATAATTAATGCAAATCTCTTATCCTGTAGTGTTCTTATTATTTAAATTTCTCTATTAAAATGGTGATGATTATAGGTTTTTTTTTCCCTTCTAGATGCAGAAAATTATAGAAACAATCTTTACCATTTTATACTAAAAAAAATGTTAATAGTTATGCCTCTGAAGCACTTTTCTGGATGGGGAAAAAGTTCATGTTTCTTGTATAAAGAACCATTTTAAGCCTTCTATATAAAATCAAATGACAAAGAAATTTGCGTATTGCTATTTCTGATACTATAACATTTTAATAAATAATGAAAACAACTATACCAGTATATAAATTGAATAAAAATGATAGAAAACAAAACAAAACAGAATCTTCTGCCTCTTTGAAGCAGGGGTAAAGCTTTAGCACACATTACTTTAAAAAACACAAGATTATGAAATCTAAAAATCATAGTGGCATTAAACAAAGTTTGGAATGAAAATGTTAAATATAATGGAAATTCAATGATCTTATAAAAATATTAAATAAATCAAATAACTTTATTCACTAGAGAAAAATCAGTGCTGCAATACAGCCAATCTGAGGCAAAAAAAAATGTGTTTATGGTTCCCTATAATTGAATGCCTCAAAATAACTACACTGAAGGTACTTTTGGTAGTGAATTGTGACAAACAATATTTGCAGGTCTGCCAATATGCTCAAGGTAAAAAAATTAAGAAAAAAAAAGCCCAAACTAATCTAAACTTTTTTTTCTTTCAGAGAAAACACTAAACACACTCTTTTTTTTTTGGCATCTGACTTGAACAGTCATACATGTAAAGTTTAATCTATTTGTAGATGTTTTATTCTAAGTCATTGTTGTAAGCTCTTTTAAGTATGCAACTTGTTCAAAATGTCTCTTAATAGATATTATTCTAGCAGAATTTCGTTATTTAAATAAAGCTTGATCAATTGCTAAATAAACTTTTGTTGATAGCTGTCAAATACATCTCCTTGTTATTATATGGTATACATAAATGACAACTGTTTTTAATAGGGAAATTATTAATCAATATTAAGAAAAAAAGCCTGTTTAAAATTGGTTATAAAGACCCTCCACATCAAAGTTACAGAATTTACTATCCACAATACCTATTTCTAGTACCAATCTTTATTTAATGGCTAAAAACAACAAGTACGGCAAAAGTATTATACAATAACCACTGTCTGTAAATAGTTGACATTAATACCATACCAATTTTCAACCATTTAAAGTTTCAAAAATCAAAAAATATTAACACTAACAACAATTTTACTATTGACAATTAACCTACTGTCTGTTCCAAAATCTTCTCTTTAAAGGAAAAGAAATATTTGACTGTAGGTTACATTAATACATGCCAATATTAGGATTAACATTGCCAGTGGTTTCCTTTTAGAATATTCATTGAAAAACTCTTTTTTTTTTAAAGTGAATAGAATAATTGAGAAGAACATATTGCATTAGTGACAAAATATTGCTACTAAATCCAGACATGGCTAAACAGTTCAACCGTAACAGAACAATTAGAGAAAACTTAACAAGTGCAATTGTATAACTGGCAAAATCATATGATAAAGTGGAATATGCAAAAAAACATGTATTCTGAAAATGTGTAAGCTTGTACTTTACATTTTATCCTCCATATGGTCAACATATCATTAAATAAAACAACAGATAACATACCAAAAGTCTATCAAAAATGCAGTTATTCCAGAAAAACTCACATTAACTGTTTCTATCATTCTATAAATGAAAGACATAGTTTATAAAATTACATTTCAGTTCATTGTAATACAGTAAAAGGTATGGTTAACGTACAACAAAACTGATGAATGATTTAAAACTGCTATTTGCAGGATGAACAGGAAATAACATGTGTTCTAAACAGATCTGGGAAGGGGGACTCCAGAGACGAGAATCCCACTTATTGTCCAAAATCTCTTATAATCACGTATAAAGGGCAAAAATGAAGTTGAAATAGCCAGCAGGAATATTTCTTTCAATTTGGATCTACCCTGTCAAAAATGGAACTGAGCATGCCACATTATTATAACAATAATGTCCAAATTTCGGTTTTTGTTTTTCATGTCAAAAGATAGTTTGTCAATTTTTTTTTATACAAATAGAAACTGTTCTTTAAATTGTCAATTTTTTTTATACAAATAGAAACTGTTCTTTAAATTGACCTAACAGGTTTATGCGGAGCAGGATCTGCCTACCCTTCCAGAGCACCCCAAGTTTTTGGTGGGTTTCATGTTGCTCAGTCTTTAGTTTTCTATGTTGTGTTTTGTGTACTGTTGTTTGTCTGTATTTCTTTTTCACTTAGTCAGTTTATTTTCAACTTATGAGTTTGAATGTCCCTTTGGTATCTTTCGTCTCTTTTTTATAAATTGAGAATATGTGTGTTTCATAATGTTTTATATATGGCTATTCAGTAAACAGAAAATATAAAAAGATATTTTGCTCTAGTCTCAAATTCTTCATTTTTTTTAGTTTCTTTGAAATGCGGTGCCACAGACAAGCCTTAAAAATAACATTCACTCTGTATTTCATCAAAATCTAAACATAATCTTTTTTTTAATGATAAACATTTCCGCTGGATATTTACAATAACTGTAAAACAAATATGTTGTGATACTAACATGAATATAGCATCTGAGACAGCTACATTTACAGCAGTTTAAATCTTTAAAAAGATATCTACAATGATACCCAGGATTTCTGTAAAAAGTTTAATATAATAGTACGTTGCTTTTTTCCTTTTTCATCTTATCTTGATTTTATAAATCTGGCATAACACAGAGAGCTCTACAGATGATATAGGAGGATTGTTATTTCCTGAAGATTTTTATCAAGTTCATGCTTAACTTTTGAGAAACATGTATTCTTCATCATTCATACTTAATTAATGATTCCTAGTTTTCTCACAATAATGAGGTCATTCAATCTTCACGAGTACCACATGTTGACTGATTATGTCATAATATGTGAATGCTTGGGAAATAACTTTGACATTCTTTGGTTTTTTCTTTCATCCTTTCCAACTTGACTTGTGTTTATCACCCTCAAATGCTGAATGTGTCTGGAAAGCTGAAACAGAAGAACTTTTATAACATCAAATTTAAAAATATTCTTTTCAAACTTTCACAATAAAGCATACTTTGAAGATGGATATGATTTGTAAATAAATTAATACTTAAATTAAGAAATCACAAGTAAAAGGTCCTGAATACTCTTGAAAAAAGAATTTTCCTTGGGTTAAAATTTCAAAGGATTGATCTTAAAATAAATTTCATTGAGATTAATTAATGAGGTTTCTGTATGTAAAGTATTGTTTTTTTTATATTTGTAAAATTTTAGTTGGGGATTTAATTTACCCTCTTACATCAAATCACCAAAATACTATTATAATACTACTGTAAATTCAGAAATTATTGCGATGTTTTTATTATTGCGCAAAATGCGACAGGGTTATAATCGCAATAATTAAAACTCGCATTTTGAAATTTTTTGTATGAATTAAACAGGATTTTTCTCAATATCGCAAAAATTAAAATCGCATTTTAGTCTAAAATGACAAAATCGCAATAATAAATGCACGCAATAATTTCTGAATTTACAGTAATTGGATTTCATTGTGTACCTGGGTTGCTGTCTTACTGTCATTTACCTGATTCTTCTTTTTTGATTTTTTTTCTTCTAATTACATGTAAGCATTAAATTAATTGTTCAAATTTCATGTAAGCAGTAAATTAATAAAAGAACAGAGTTCCAATGTCCCCCACATTGCACATATTTTATCTATCCAAGGTACAAGGGAAATAACTTAAAGAAAAAAAAGTCGAAAACTGTTATAATTAATATTTCAAAGGGGCATAAGTCGTTAAAAAAATTATTTGACTAGCACTTATTTTCAAAATTGTCCGAGACATTGATGATATAAACCTATGATATAAGTTTCATAAAATTCTGGCAAGAATTGTACACATGAGAGCGCTAACAATGCAATTTTCCATAAAATCAATGTTTCCAAGGGGCATAACTCTTTTTGAAATTATTGATCATCACTGATTTTTTAACTCGTCAAAGACATTGCTGATATAAACCTATGATAAAAGTTTCATAAAAATCTGGCAAGAATTGAATACATGAGAGTGCTAACGATAAAATTTTCCATATAATTAAAGTTTCCAAGGGGCATAACTATTTTAAAAATAATTGATTGGCACTGATTTTCAAATTGTCCAAGACATTGCTAATATAAACCTATGATATAAGTTTCATAAAAATTTGGCGAGAATTGTACACGTGAGAGCGCTAACAAGACCGGACGGACGGATGCCCAGTGTTTCTATGTCCCCCGCAACGCATTGCGCGGGGGACAATAAGCAGTAAATTACTTTCATATATACTTAATAGTTCCTACTTACCTTTATAAAATATGGCAGGAAAATGAACATCAGGTAGTAATTCTTTGACTTTATCTATAACTGTTGCTTGTTCGTGTAATAAAGCTTGAGTGTTCCAGATTTGTAATATATCATCTCTTTCTCGTACACTAATACTCATTCCACTTATTTCATCACCTGTAAAACAATTATAATTTTAATAGAACATCCAGTGTGCAAGCTAATTTCTAAGAATAGAGGGCACATTAAAAGAAGCTGTCGGATTATGAACAAAATTGGCCAAAACAGTATATCAACAAACCTGGCTTCTACATCATTTGGTCTCTGGTGTAGAGTTGTCTCATTGGCAATCATACAACATCTTATTTTTATATGACCATATGGTCAATTTATTTATCTTTAGTGATCAACCATAATTATAACAGGGGATTACACATAAGTATATCATTCAAACAAAATCTGCACTATTAGGTCCTTCACAAAATGTTTTACTTATATGTTTATTGATTTTTTTGGAAAATAAATTTTCTTTTCTAGCAACAGAGGGGCATCATATAAGGGCACTTAAGGTCATCAAACATTGTTCTTTAAGGTGATCATAAATTATAAACTTATCTTCTACTGTAAATTTGGTAGCAATTGGCCTTTATTACATGTACATTATAAAGATTTGTTTCCACATTTTTTGCTCTATTTTCTTTAAGTAATAAACAAAGGCATTTCTTCAAAATATTATAAAGTACAGTGGCCATGTTTGTTGATTAGCAGAATATCTGATATAATTTAGAAACTACACATCCTAGAGATGATTGTAAAACACTGTAGTTTTGTTTTAAATGAACATGTGGATTCCATGTAAACAGATGATAACAGCTGATACTAGGCCTTTGGGTCATGTGAGCTCAAAACCTTTTTGGCTGTGTGTTCATTACATACTTCTAGGAATGAAATACAAGACAGTTTAGATCCTCCCCATCTATAGATACATATATGGCCAAAGACCACAATTAATGATCCCGCTTTTCGTTGTCCACGAATATAGTTCCTTTTAATTAGAGTGTATTTTTTCTTAATTTTTTTTCTTTCCCTTCCTCACTCATTTCTTAGATTTTTTTGGATGGAAATGAAAGAAGAGAGGTGAAATAAACTTTTGGATGTTGTATTTTAACTGATTTTGATATGGAAAGAGTAATTAGGCCAGGTGCAAAAAGGTGATATTTACAGTTTTCGGAACATCTCTTGACTTGTCCATAGGGGTATGGATGTGTATTGGCTAAATTTGTAAGATGCTTGGGAGCGATATTTCTGAATGTTTGATATATGTTTGGACTAGTACTGTACTTTACACACACAAAATATTTGACAAAAAGAACCGGAGCATTTTTTTTAATGAAACAAAACGTTATAAAGAACTAATAGAGAATTTAATTGTGGTCTGTGGCCTAAGAGGTGAAATTCAGGAAATATTGAATTTGTACTTTGACAACTTCCCTGAATGATCTATTGGTATTAATTTGTCAAACTACATGAGAATAAATGATTTCCACTTTTATTTGATAGAAATTTTGTAAAAAAGTGACATTTCAGCCTACATGCCCAAAATTGAACTTTTTCAGTTGTTTCAATATTTTTACAAAAGTAGCATGCTTACTTTCTCTCTCACAGGTTTTTCTGATTTTCTACTTGTGTTTGTGGTATCTAATGTAGATGTTTAACTCATTTTTGAACACTAAACATACAAAATAAAATGCTTCGCTGGGGCGCAGCTTGATACGACCGCAGAGGTCGAACCCTGAACAGTTGGGGCAAGTATGGACACAACATTCAAGCTTGATACAGCACTGAATTTGGATTGTAATTAAATATTTGACACAGCATAGGTTTCTGACACAGAATGAATGTGGTCTAAGAACTTAAAAATTTTTAATTTATCTATTCAAACCATATCATTATTATTTGCTTTTATATATAAATCAGAAATAACCAATTTAAAATGGAAAATTTCAAAGAAAAAAAAGGGAAAAAAATCCCCCTCCCCCCAAAATTTTTTGAACCCCCTTATGATTCATCACCCTCAAACACAATCCCAGCCTTCCCTTTGTGGTATGGTACCTTGCAGTACATATGATGGACTGTGAAACTAAGATCAGGAGTTTGGGAAATTTTGGTCAGGAGATTAGGACTCAGATCAGGAGGTTTTTAATCGACATAAATTCTGTCATAAATGTAACCGTGTGCTGTAGAAATTGTCTGTTAAAGTGTGCTTTCTTCAACTTTCCATCCGAATGTATTATGTTTATAGTACCCTTGTACTTATAAATTTTCTCTATCTTTTTAAACTTTCAACTTGTTCAATCTAACATTCTTCTTTTTAAGTATGTTCTTTAAATTTTTTAGGTCATAACTTTTTTTCCATTATTCATTGCAATCATAATATTTGCTTATCTATCTGCAAGTAGATCTTTTATTTTAATCTTTATGCAAGTAGATTTTTAATGCATGATAAGTAACACATTCGAACTGTATTCATGGGTCATAGTTAATATATAAATTTCAATTTAAGCCTTGAAAGGAAGTATAGAACCCTCAAATAATTTTCAAATTATTATTTTTTTATTTGTCCTAAGACATTTAAAATCATTTAATTACCATCCTTTTTTGATTATTTGTTCAATTTATATTTTATTTATATTCTTTTAAAAATTTACATTATTTAAGGGAAAGTAACTTAAAACAGGATAAATCAAGGGAAGTAACCCAACATTCATTTATAAATATACAAAGTTTTATTACACAACGGCAGTTAGCCTGATGTAAAAATCGTTGATTACCAGTATGTTTGACACCCAAGGTGACAAGTGAAGCCATATAATTATCATGTTAATTGATTAACAGGTAAAATATAACTTCAGGTAATGTCAGTTACACCAGATATGTTGGGCTGAAATTTTTCATTCATGAAATATTTCATACACAGGATTTTTTTGTCTTCAACGGGAGGTCGGGAGGAGACCCCTGAAAACGGGATTATTGTATTCCCTTCGGGAGGTTCACATGTATGATTACTGTACAATTTCAGGGAGATCAATACACTTGAACAAAAGTTATTGTCTGGAAACTAGAAAAATGCTTATTTTTTGGCCCCTTTTTGGCCCAAAATTCCTAAACATTTACGGCAATTACCCCCAAACTCAAACCCAGCTTTCCCTTTGTGATATGGAACCTTGCAGTACAATTTCATAAAGATCCATACACTTGCACACAAGTTATTGTCCTGAAACTAGAAAAATGCTTGTTTTTTGCCCCTTTATGGCCCCTAATTCCTCAAATTTCTAGGGATTTAACCCCAAAATCAATCCCAGCCTTTCCTTTGTGGTATGGTACCTTGCAGTACAATTTCAGAGAGATCCATACACTTGAACAAGTTATTGTCTGGAAACTAGAAAAATGCTTATTGTTGGCCCCTTTTTGGCCCCTTATTCCTGAACGTTGTGGGAAATTACCCCCAAAATCAATTCCAGCTTTCCCTTTGTGATATGGAACCTTGTAGTACAATTTCATAAAGATCCATACACTTACACACAAGTTATTGTCATGAAACTAGAAAAATGCTTGTTTTTTGCCCCTTTTTGGCCCCTAATTCCTAAAATTTGGAGGCAATTACCCCCGAAATCAATCCCAGCATTCCCTTTGTGATATGGAACCTTGTGGAACAATGTCAGAGAGATCCATACACTTACACACAAGTTATTGTCATGAAACTAGAAAAATGCTTGTTTTTTGCCCCTTTTTGGCCCCTAATTCCTAAAATTTGGAGGCAAACGGCAGATTCCATATAAGAAATTGAAATGTCTGTCAAAATGAATAAATAAATAAAAATAATAATTACTGTTATTTTAAAGATAATCTGTGAATGTTTTGAGGAATAATGATGTTAGAAGAAATTATAAAAATAATTTTTGGATATGATTGTTTCCGTTTAAAGTAGAAATGATTAAAACAAGTTGAAAAAATGCAAAAATTTTGACAGAATTAACTCCCATTTTTTTACACAATGTTTATGTGTTGCAATGCTTTATTTTGACACTTGTATACTGGTATTTACTAGTGTAGTCTGGTTATTCAAACATCCCTATTCCCAAATTTGTTACTTTTTTTAGTCAAAAACATCTATGATATATATTTTTTTTCACTTTCAAATATCTTGCTTTATAGCTCAGTGTCTGTCAATAAATCTTATGTCAGGAACATCGCTGTAAAAACTTTCAAAATCATTGTAGGTTCCAATATATGCCAGTTGAAACTGTAAGTCATGCTGTGCATAAGAAAAAACACATGTTGATTCTTTCATTTAACTTTATTCAAGCAATAGTTTTAACTTATATGTTTCCTACATAAGATCTGTCAAACTTGTTTTCTTATGTCTGAAACATTTGAATGTGCTAACAGTTAAAGTTCTTTGACCTGTAGTGAAATCTTGTTAGATGTCAGGCTGCAGTATTTTCCAGGAGTTTTAAAAATGACTTTCAACTAGGATTTGATTTCCAATGTCAGAAAAAAAAACCAAATATATATTGTCTGTCAAAATATCTTATGTATGAAAAATCTTATGTCAGAATCAAGTCTGTCAAAATCTTATGTCAGAAACTCAATTTGTCTGTCAAATCTTATGTCAGAAATAATAAAGTCTGTCAAATCTTATGTCAGAAAAAATAAAGTCTGTCAAATCTTATGTCAGAAATAATAAAGTCTGTCAAATCTTATGTCAGAAAAAAAAAAGTCTGTCAAATCTTATGTCAGAAACAATAAAGTCTGTCAAATCTTATGTCAGAAACAATAAAGTCTGTCAAATCTTATGTCAGAAACATAATATTTAAGGCTTCGTTTATGTAAAAAGGATGATGCTAATAATTTTTTTTTGGGTCAAATTGTCTTTATCTTTATTAGTAAAGCATGTATTCAAAAACAGAAGTTCATTGCTTATGATTTTTGCCTAACGTGCTTATGGGAGTTGTTTCACTTTCTTATATGGAATCTGCCATTTACCCCCAAAATCTATCCCAGCATTCCCTTTGTGATATGGAACCTTGTGGTACAATGTCAGAGAGATCCATACACTAACACACAAGTTATGTCTGGAAGTTACAAAAATGCTTATTTTTGGCCCCTTTTTGGCCCCTTTTGGCCCCTAATTCCTTAACTGTTGGTACCATAACCCCCAAAATCAATCCCCACCTTCCTTTTGAGGTATTGAACCTTATGGTAAAATTTCATAGAGAACCTTTCACTTAAACTAAAGTTAGAGTGCGAAAACCAATGTGTATTCGGACGACGACGCCGGACGACGACGACGACGACGACGACGCCAACGTCATACCAATATACGACCACAAAATTTTTTTGCGGTCGTATAAAAAGTAGATAAAATCAGAATAAGAGTGCAAAATGTGCTGCTTTAATGGTCCTAGTCTAACGGTCAGTATGAAGCAAGTGAAAAATGAGGTTCTATGCACATACAAGTTGAATTCCTTTTAGCAGATTTCACTGAAACTGTATCAAAAGCACTTATTACTGGTTGTTTGACCTTGTCTGTTTCACAGACTACCTTTATTTTCTTTTGTTTGATAGCTAGTGGTTAAAATATTGGCCTTTTGATGCTGAAATTTCATGCCGGTTTTAAAAAGTAAAGTAAATAACTTTGCATTAGATCATACTGTCTACATATATAGTTGAAAGTGACAGTCTTGTTACATCCAGGCTCCATGTTTTATCATATCTGAGCAAAGATTTGAGCAAAAAGAAGCATATCTTCATCTCCCATATCATTTATATGCTTTTTAATATGCAAATGTGGGGAACGACCTAAATTGACAACCTGTTTTTTTAAGCTTGACATTGCTGAAGACCATTTTATTCACATGTGTTATGCTATTTGAAACTTATATTTCCATTAAAAGTACATTTATAACATGTAAAAGGTTTTTTTATAACTTAGCAACTTCAGAAAATTGTGGTAAGTGAAAAATATTACATTGCATATAAGGCCTCACTTCATTTGAAAACCTCTATTTTTTGGCACAGGCCCATATGAAATTTACTTCTGGCCATTTTTTATAAGTCTGAAACATGAAGTATGCTATCTGTTGCTTTTAATAGGTGATAACTTATACATAGAGACATTAAAAAGTGTAAGTTTTGGTATATTTTGGTTTTTAGAAGCCCAAATTTGATAGTTGAAATTATTCTAATTCAACGCCACAATTCAGCACCCAAAGTTCAGATATAAAAAATGCCACAATTTTTATAATTGGTATCATATGGCTTTGAAACTTTGTAAACTGTTTCATAATACACTAAGCTTAAATCATACCCAGTTTTATTAGAATTGGTCAAGGTTTAGACCCCTAATAGGCCAAAGACCACAATTAATGATCCCGCTTTTCGTTGTCCACGAATATAGTTCCTTTTAATTAGAGTGTATTTTTTCTTAATTTTTTTTCTTTCCCTTCCTCACTCATTTCTTAGATTTTTTTGGATGGAAATGAAAGAAGAGAGGTGAAATAAACTTTTGGATGTTGTATTTTAACTGATTTTGATATGGAAAGAGTAATTAGGCCAGGTGCAAAAAGGTGATATTTACAGTTTTCGGAACATCTCTTGACTTGTCCATAGGGGTATGGATGTGTATTGGCTAAATTTGTAAGATGCTTGGGAGCGATATTTCTGAATGTTTGATATATGTTTGGACTAGTACTGTACTTTACACACACAAAATATTTGACAAAAAGAACCGGAGCATTTTTTTTAATGAAACAAAACGTTATAAAGAACTAATAGAGAATTTAATTGTGGTCTGTGGCCATATCCCTCAGAAATTTTAAAGCAGTTGAAAATCTAAATCATTTAAGTTTTTACTATTACATAGTTTTAAATGAAAACAGTGCACAAAAATGATTTTGAACAATATGTTAATTGGAAAAGGGTACTGAATTAGTATCAAAAAGTAAGAAAACGTAATAAAAAAAGATTACAAAGCAAAAGAATGAATTTGTGAAAATAGAAAAAAGTAAAAATGCTCCGCTGGTGCACAGCTTGATACGACCTCAGAGGTCAAACCCTTAACAGTTGGGGCAAGTATGGACACTACATTGAAGCTTGATACAGCTCTGATTTTGGATTGTGATTAAATATTTGACACAGCATAGGTTTCTGAGACAGCGGGGCATAACTCTTTTAAAAATAATAAATCGGCACTGATTTTAGAACTAGTCCAAGACATTGCTGATATAACCTATGATATAAGTTTCATAAAAATCTTGAAAGAACTGAACACACGAGAGCGCTAACGATGCAGTTTACCATATAATTAATGTTTCCAAGGGGCACAACTCTTTTAAAAATAATTGAACAGCACTGATTTTCAAACTTGTCCCAAGATATTGCTGATATAAACCTATGATGTAAGTTTCATAAAAATCTGGCAAGGATTGTACACATGAGTGTGCAAACAAGACTGAATTGACAGACGGATATATGGACAGATGGACACCCGGTATCTCTATGTCCCCTGCTATGGGTTGCACGGGGGACAAAAATAAGAAGATGTGGTATGATTGCCAATGAGACAACTCTCCACAAGAGACCAAATGACACAGAAATTAACAATTACAGGTCACAAATTACATAATTTCTAAAATTAGAATTTGAGTTACATCTGTTTTTAACTATGAATCTACTAACAATTTCTATTAATTGTGCAATTCAGCTCTGAATTTGGATTGTGATTAAATATTTGACATAGCATAGGTTTCTGACACAGAATGAAAGTGGTCTAAGAACTTAAAAAATTGAAATTGGACTTTTACCTATTATGGCCCAATATCCAATATCTAAATACATGATAAGATTCAGCATGTATAAAAGAACCCCAAGAATTCAATTCTTGTTGAAATCAAACAGAGTTTAATTTGGATCTTTTGGACCTCAATGTGGACCAATTTAATAACGGGGCCCAAAATCTAAAATCTAAATACATGGTTAGATTAACTTTATCAAAGAACCCCATATATTGAATTCAAATTTTAGCTCACCGGGCCCCGAAGGGCCCCATGTGAGCTTATGCCATCAATTGGCGTCCGTCGTCGTCCGTCGTCGTAAACTATTTCAAACATCTTCTCTGAATCTACTGAGCCAAATACCTTCAAACTTTAACTAAATGTTCCTTAGGGTTTCTAGTATATAAATTGTATCCGAAGTTTTGATCCATCGACAAACATGGCCGCCATGGCTAAAAATAGAACATAGGGGTCAAATGCAGTTTTTGGCTTATATCTCAAAAACTAAAGCTTTTAGAGCAAATCTGACATTGGCAAAAATTGTTCAATTGGTCAAGATCTATCAGCTCTGAAATTTTCCGACATATCGAACAACCCATTGTTTGGTTGCTGCCACCGAATTGGTAGTTTTAACAAAATTTTGCATTTTTTTTTTATTATTTTGAATATTATTATAGATATATATATAAACTGTAAGCAGCAATAATGTTCAGCAAAGTAAGATCTACAAAAAAGTTAATATGACCATAAATGTCAACTGACCCCTTAAGGAGTTATTGCCCTTTAAAGACAATTTTACACAATTTGTTCATCAAGTTTGCTAACATTTAAAAATCTTCTCCTATGAAATACAGGTGAGCGATTCAGGCTCTTGAGAGCCTCTTGTTGTTGATATCAAGCAAAGTTTAATTTTGGACCCCAATTTGGACAAACTTAAAAACTGGACCCAAAATCAAAAATACATGTTTAGATTCAAGCATATCAAAGAACCCCTTGAATTCATTTTTGTTAAAATCAAACTAAGTTTAATTTTGGACCTTTATGTGGACCAATTGAAAAGGGCCCAAATTCAAAAATCTAAATACACGGGTAGATTCAGCATATCAAAGAACCTCAAGAATTCAAATTTTGTTGAAATCAAACAAAGTTTAATTTTGGACCCTTTGGACTTCAACATGTTTCAATTTAAAAATGAGGCCCAAAATCCGAAATCTTAATACACTGTTAGATTCAGCATATTAAAAAAACCCAAGAATTCAAATTTTGTTGAAATCAAACAAAGTTTAATTTTGGACCGTTTAATTTGGACCTCAATGTGGATAAATTTAAAAACGTTGCCCAAAATCCAAAACTGTATACATGGTTAGATTCAGCATATCAAAGAACCCTAAGAATTCAAGAATTTTGAATTAAACCTCATTGAAATTGGTCAAGAAATAAGCAATTTATACAAAGTATTAGAAAAGTATTGTTTTTGGACCCTTTTTCCTAACAGGTTAAGGCCATAACCCCCAAAATCAATCACAACCTTCCTTTTATGGTATGGAACCTTGTGGTATAATTTCATAGAGATCCATAATCTTATGCTCAAGTTATTGTCTGGAAACCAGAAAATCCTAGTTTTTTTGCCCTTTATGCCTTAACTACATGTATTTAGGCTATAACCCCCAAAATCAATCCCAACTTTCCTTTTGAGGTATGGAACCTTGTGGTACAATTTCATAGAGATCCATACACTCATACACAAGTTATTGTCCTGAAACAAGAAAAATGCTTGTTTTTGGCCCCCTAATTCCTTAACAGTTAAGACAACCCCCAAAATGAGTCCAACCTTCATTTTGTGGTACGGAACCTTGTGGTACAATTTCATATAGAGATCCATACACTTATACTCAAGTTATTGTCTGGAAACCAAATGTCTTCGGACGACGACGACAACGACAACGACATAAAAACGAAAACATTCTAATGCTTGGCACGTATTCATTACCTTCAGCTAAACAATCAGAAAACTGTTCTCCAATTGCTGCTAACAGAAGTTCTTTCCATACTCTTACCTATAAAATAAAATATGGAAACACTGTGTATATGATATTTTTACACATACAATTAACAATAATAAAATAGTGTGTAATGTAAAGCTGCATTGAGGATGTTACCCTATTATAAAATTCTATAAGTCGGCAATATGAAATACAATATAGTTATTCTTTAAATAAACTGTTGACACAGAGATATGCCTCGCCTGATTGCAGAAAATTTGAAAAAAAAGACAATCTCATGGACAGCAACATTGCTAATCAATTCAAAGTCGCTGGACCATGATCTAGGGAGCAGGGCCTCGAAATAGTCGCTAATAGATATGTACTGATAGTTTTGCAACTTCATAGAAAATATCATTTATCTATCACAAGTAGTTCCTATCAAACTATCTTGAGCATAAAACTTCCATTGAAAACTGCTTATTAATTGAAAGTAGCTGGACCTTGACCTAGGGGCAGGGCCTAGAAATCAAACTGATATGTAATGCAACTTTATACAAAATATCACTGATCTATTCCAAGTAGTGCTATCAATCTGACTTAAGCAGAAAACTTAACAATTGTTGACGAATCCTCTTCGGTCACCCCCAAAGCAATACCTACGTCTGGCTTTCCGCGACTTTAATCGCAGGCGAGACATAATGTACATCAGCATTATATCCATAGGATTGCTAAGACTATAATCTTCATAAATTTTAGTCCCAAAGCTGTTATTAGGTCAACCATAACAAAACTCAGATATGTAACTTCCCATTATACAATAACAGTTTTATGGAAGAAGTATTTGTCACCTACAATTTTTTGCTATATATATTTCATACAAGAGTGCACACGCTGAAATGTCTCGCCTTCTTTACTAATCATTGATATTATGTTGATAGTCCTAAAAATAAAGCTTTATTACAACTGTCAAATAAACTTAATATTAACCAAGAAAACTAAACTTTGACGAATGAACCATGAAAATGAGGTCAAGGTCAGATGAACCATGCCAAGCAGGCATGTACAGCTAACAATTCTTTCATACAACAAATATAGTTGACCTATTGCTTATAGTTTAAGAAAAACAGACCAAAACACAAAAACTTAACACTGAGCAATGAACTGTGAAAATGAGGTCAAGGTCAAATAAAACCTGCGCGACTGACATATAGATCATAAAATATTTCCATGCACCAAATATAGTTGACCTATTGCATATAGTATTAGAAAAAAAGACCAAAACTCAAAATCTTAACTTTGACCACTGAACCATGAAAATGAGGTCAAGGTCAAATGACACTTGCCAGCTAGACATGTACACCTTACAATCATTCCATACACCAAATATAGTAGACCTAGTGCATACAGTATAAGAAAAACAGACCAAAACACAAAAACTTAACTATAACCACTGAACCATGAAAATGAGGTCAAGGTCACATGACACCTGCCAGTTGGACATGTACACCTTACAGTCCTTCCATACACTGAATATACTTGACCTATTGCTTATAATATCTGAGATATGGACTTGATCATCAAAACTTAACCTTGTTCACTGATCCATGAAATGAGGTCGAGGTCAAGTGAAAACTGTCTGACAGGCATGAGGACCTTGCAAGGTACGCACATACCAAATATAGTTATCCTACTACTTATAATAAGAGAGAATTTAACATTACAAAAAATGTTAACTTTTTTTTCAAGTAGTCACTGAACCATGAAAATGAGGTCAAGGACATTGGACATGTAACTGACGGAAACTTCGTAACATGAGGCATCCATATACAAAGTATGAAGCATCTTGGTCTTCCACCTTCTAAAATATAAAGCTTTTAAGAAATTAGCTAACGCCGCCGCCGGATCACTATCCCTTTGTCGAGCTTTTTGCGACAAAACTATTCATTTCAAATATATATTGTGATGTCATTTCTGGTTAAATTTGGAGCAACTTGATTCCAATAGAAGCAGAATTTTTACAGGTTTATTAATCTTTTCGGTTATGTTTTTGACCTGAACTGGTCTCATTTTCTGATGATGTAAACACAAGTATTATTTTTTATCCAGTAATTTACTTAATATTTCAACCAAACTAAATTGTAAATAAAAGAACAGAGTTCCAATGTCCCCCATGTTGCACATATTTTATATTTCCAATGGGCATAACTCTTTTAAAAAAGTCCATCGTCCACCAATATAGAACTTGTCCGAGATATTGCTGATTTTAACCTATAGTATAAGTTTTATAAAAATCTGGCAAGAATTTTACATGTGAGAGCGCTAACAAGACCGGACGGACGCCTGGTATTTCCATTTCCCCCGCAACGCAACTTATGACCTATTGCACAAATATACTTCGGACAATTCCATATCTTTCAACATAAGGTCGGTTAATATCCAACCATAAATGCCTTCAAATTATTTTTTTGAAAAAATGTGTTATTATATGAAATATAAAGCAAAAAAATGTAGGTGAAAAAATTCTTATTGCATAATGCTGTGTAAACAAAATAAACAATGTATCACCTAATTATCTTCCAGAAGATCTGAATAAGGATACAAAACTATTATTTTCATCTATTTCTTACGGCCATAATTGGGTTAACAGTATGCCAACAAAACAGCGACTCTTATGTGATATGAAACTAACTGTTATACATTCATAATCCTAATACATGTATAAGGTAATATTTGCAAGGATGAAAATGGAGAAGTAAACTGTCACTTTTATGAAAATTTCCAAAACCAATGGCAATATTCAGGAAAAAAGAAGTTCAACCAGAACACAACTCATATCTTCATCTTTTACTATCATTATAAAACTATAAATCAAATATCAGCTCAATATCTGCTGGAAAATGGCTGAAAATGGAATGAAAACTGTTATTTCAATACATTTTTCGAAGTAAAAGGGAAGTAATAGTTCAAAAGAATGGCAATTGGAACAAAATTCAGTATTTCTGAAACTATGTATACTGTTACACAGCTGTAAATGTATAAATGTTTAGTAACCATATTATTCTATCATGGCCTACAGCAATACAGATTTCTGAAAGCCATTCTAAGCATATAGCATCAACTGGTACTTACAGATTCAAATTTGTGACATTTTATTCTCCAGTTCCCACCATTACAATTAAATTCATCTTCCCTGAAAAAAATATACATTTAAGAGATGAATAAAAGACAGTAAATAAAAGACCAAAGCCTAAAAATCAGGGATCAAGATTTTTATTTTCATCTCGCGACAAAATACAGCTGGTGGCAATTTTCAGTTACTGCCAGTTCAAGAAAACCATATCAAAAGTATGAAGTAACCATTTCCATGTGCTGTGAAAAGATTTATTGCCATTGACTCTCCAAGGTTACCTTGATTGGTTTAGCTTAATGCCTTTAGTTACAGAGGATATAGAGATTCAAATCTGCATTAAAAAAGTCTGCCTGCCTAATATCCTTTTTTGAAAGCCCTAAGAACACTGATGATCTGTAACACTTTACATGAAAGTATTACAAAATATAATGCATGACTGAAAAGAAGAGAACACATTCTTTATGTGCCTTCCAAGGTCAGGAGTCTGTAGTTCAGTGGTTGTTGTTGGTTCATGTCTGTCATATTTGTTTTTCGTTAATTGTTTTGTTATAAATAATAGGCTGTTAGTTTTCTCAATTGAATTGTTTCATATTTTTCATGTCAGGGCCATTTATAGCCAACTACTGTAAATGCAGAAATTTTCGTTGGGAATTTAATTTCGTTTATTTCGTGGATAAGAATTATCCACGAAATTAAAACCCCAACGAAAATTTAACTGTAGATTTACCAAATCTGAATTCAAAATACGTAAATATTTACATTATTTAATCAGACAAAATCATATTGACATTAAATAAATGATGATCATAAATGCATTCAATGAAAATAATAGGTTAATTGATTACACAATAAAAATATTAAAACGTTTTCTTTCAGTCAGATGATAATCCTAACTAATCTTTTGTTTGTACAGTAATAAATCATGATCAAGAACTGTCAATCAATATCATTTAACAGTCTAATGTGTCTGTAATGCCCGCAAGCCGAAATCCATTTATTACACAATCATTGTCCTTGGATAAAACATCAAAGGCGTGTAAAAGCCAGTTAGCGTGTGCAGGTTTGATTGCCCTAATTCTTCAGGCGAATATGATCCATATTCTCCCTGTTTCCTTTTACCCGGTCTAGAAGGTGAAGCTTTTGGGGAATCACTTAAACTTCCGATCGCTTCATTTGCTGCCGTGATTGCTGTTGCATCATCCTCGGAAGTTGCACGGCTCGGTGAAGGCAATCCTGGGAAGGCTGGTTCACGTATTTTAGAACTTTTAATCCACTTCTTGTTACAATGAACGAATGATAAAACGTAAGTTTACAAAACTTAATTAGTGCTCACTGTCACTATTAAACGCATTATTGATTTTTCCCAACGTCAAAAGTTAAGATCAGTTTTATTGAGTATTGTCAATTATAAAGTGACATTTACATAATTTTTTTCTCAACTTAAAAACCACAAAAAATTAATCCCCACGAACTTACTTTTGGATACAAAACCACGAAATTTTAACCCCATGAAAATTAATGTTTATACAGTATAGAGGGGCCTGATGGGTTATTTTCGTTATTCGTGATCGGTGCATTCTCGCTATCGTGATCCGTTTTTCTACAGATTTTTTTTTTTTTATATTTTCGTGATCCGTGATCATGGAAATTTATTTTCTGTGAATCGTGATTGACAAAAAAATCAACTCGTGAATCGTGATGAGACCCCCCCATCAGGCCCCTCAGTATATGGTAAGGGTTTTTCTCATTGTTGAAGGCCGTACAGTTATTGCTTACATCCACTTTATTTGAACTTTGGTGGATAGTTGTCTCAATGCCAATCATACCTATCTCCTTATTTTTATACATTTAACTTTGCTCACATATTTTGATAATTCCTGAAAACTTTTTTGAGAGCAGCAGAGTCAATGAATATGCAAGTATACCAAAAAAACTGTCAACGTTATAATATCTGTGGCATTCAATTTACATGGTGGAGGATGTCACAATAATAAAATCTCTCATTTAAATTCTTGCTAATTATGTTCTATTACAAAGATACAGAAACTGCCTTCATCAATCTTACATTTATTTTCCAGTATTGAAGAATTGCAATTGTTATGGCGCAATCCTTTTAACTTATCTGTATAATTATCAATTGGTTATAAGTGCTGAATTGGATAATTATGTTACATGCTTGTGAAGCACGTGGACAGAGATAAAACACATTTAAAATAATAAATCTTGATATTTTAAGGATAATAAAACTTAAGTGTATGTATGTAAAACAAATCATAATACAAACCAAACAGGTCTTCTTTCTTCCCTCATTAAATGATAAGTGTATCTGACGTTCAGCTTGTCAACATCTGGTATGTTGTTATAAACACTCCAGAAACCCTTCAAATAATAATCTAAACATATTGCAAAAATAAAGAAAACTGCACTGTTCTAAAAATTCATTTTGCAATTAAAATGATGATGCATATTATATCTTCAAATTGATTTTTTCGCAATTTTTCCAGAATAGATACAAATGAATGATAGGAATTGACTAGGTAGCTGGAAGTTGCTTATTAAATTAACGTGAACACAACTGCTTGGAAATTTCTCTTTCGATTAACATGGACACAATAAAAAAATATTTTTCAATCTCAGAATTGTTTGTGTGCAATGTCATAAGCCAAGAAATTACCTATCAACATTGGTGAAAAAAAATAAAATCATAGCCTGTACAGATAACGATGATGGATTGGTGTTTTATGTACAGATGCAAATATTTCAAGTATATCAGGACGAAAACGTGCTATGATATGAATATGACCCTTACTTTGTACTAGACAGACTGTGATTTTATTTTAGCGTGTGAGTTCACAAGGTACCAATATGCAGGAAGACATATTACTCTACGAGGACACATTAGTTGGACTTTGGGTTGTCCAGGCTTTGCTCTTACTCTTAAATGTTATGTACATGTTTGACAGAGAAGCAGCCAAAAACCAATTTTCTAGTGTTTAGTTTGACCCAGCTGTAATTGGAACCTATGACCTCCACTACTCAAAACAAGCAAGCTACGAGACCACAGACACAGCTTCCTTAGCGTACAAACCTGTCCTTTTCTAGCTAAATTTAACTTCTACAGTGTTATATTGGCACCAGAACTTATATACGGTATTAGTATTCAAACCTGTACTGTACTGACTGTATATAACTTCTACAGTGTAATATTGGCACCAGGGCTCTCGGTCATAAAACTTTACTCAGTACTCGGAGTACAAAATTTGTGCTCGAAACACCAAATCCAGGATTTTGATTGGTTAAATTCTGAGTCTGAGTTTTAAATCGTGCTCGAAATTTTTATGACCACAAGGCCTGAACTTATATACGGTATTAGTATACAAACCTGTACTGTACTGACTGTATATAACTTCCTCATTGTTGCCTCATATTGTGCTACAGTTGTACCAGGAATTGATCTGAAGAAAAAAAGATTCATAATTTTATGACCAAATTAATTTTCAGTTCTATCAGTCTGTGAATTGATAGATACAGTGAACGTAAATCCAAAGAGCAATTTTCCAACCATAAAAGGCCTTATTTTCAACAATTGGGTAAATATTTATGGATATTGAATATTGAAGACAAAACCGTTTCATGTACATGATGTATGCTTTCAAATTTTAAACAAACTAACTATGTACATGAAAGAATAAGAAACAAAGATATTCCTTATAAATGTGAATGACTTTACTTTCGGGTACCCTGTACTGTAGGGTTAGATTGAGGCTTAGGGTTATTCAAAGTTCGGTTTTGGTTAAGTTAAGAGTAAATGTTATTTAGTATAGCTCTACATGTATATGGGCTGGGTGAGGCTAGGGACAGTTTAAGATAAGGGTCCCTTTTTATAGCTAGTTTTAGGTAAGGGTAAGGTTTAGAGTAAAGGCTAGTTTAGTATAGCCCTATATGGACTTGATCCTCTTCTGGTCTAGTAGCAATTATTGTCATAAATTCAGTTTTTCTAATACTCAATTTTGAATTATCGTTGTAGTATATGAAGGATTACCAAAAATTAGGTGAAGCATCATAGACTCAGACTTTTACTCTTATTATTAGCATTGAAAAGCAAGTTACTTGTGTGGTGATTTTTGCATGATATTTTACAGGTTCGAGGACAAGTAACTGTCACTAATGAAACAGCCTCTAAATGAGAGAATTAACACCTGCTTAATGTGAACATTAATTTCATATTTTTGCTATAGTGTAGGGAGGAAAGAAGAAGGTATGTCATGTATGTTAAATGGACCAAACATATCATCATTCCAGCCATCAATTCAGAAGGTCTTCTTTCTTCTCTAAATCTGAACTTAAGAGAGATTTATGTCACTTGAAATCAACAATTTACATTATTGAAGAGGAGCATAATTGTCCCCAGTACCAGTTAGTCAGAAATTCACAATTTTCTCAAATATTTTTTAACACGAACTCCCTTGAAATTTTTTTAGAAAAATATAATGGGTTATCAAAAGTTAGATTTAGAAACACAGACTGACTTTAAATCCTCTTTTAACTAATGTAAAGTGAGGTACTGGAGTGGTGATTAATGCGTGAAATTGCAAGAGTATGAGGAGACAATTACCATCAATTCAGAATCTAGCCACTAAATAATAGAAATTTTTGCTTAATCTGAACATAAATTTTATATTTTGATGTGGTAAGAAGAGAAGGTGGAATGTGAAATTAACGAAACATATTTCCCTTCCTTCCAACATGTCCAAATTCTGAAGCTCTTCTTCCTCTCCCTAAATCTGGGCTGATCATGAATTTGTGTCACTTGAAATCAACAAATTACACAATATTCAATAGGAGCAATGAAATTTATTTTCAAACTAATAAACCTTTCATAATTCTTATAAAAGAAATTTTTGTCTTGCTCACACACATGTATCTTCCCACAAAGAAAAAAACCCCAGAAAACTCTGCATTTCCCAGTCTTATTCTTAATCAAATCAACCAAAACAGATTTTTCTAAAGATAACAGCTGAGCAGTACTGTAAGATGCATTTAATTTTACACAAATGCTTCTTTTCAGGCACGATATGACAGTTGATGGTAACTGACAGTAACTGACCCTTGACCATTAAAGTAAATATTGGCATCATCATTTATAAACGAGATCCTTATTTCAATTTTTTGAATGAACAGCCCCAGTTGACCTGGGGTCATTTTTGGGGGAAATGCATCATATGACACTGTGACCAGGGGCGGATCCAGACATTTTCAAAAGTGGGGGTTCCCAACCCAGGATAGAGGGGGGGGGGGGGTTCCAACCATATGTCCCCATTCAAAAGCACTGATTGTCCAAAAAAAGGGGGGGTTCCATCCCCTGGACCCCACCCCCCCTATCTCATTAGAATTGTTTTACATTTGTCATTTCAGGGCCTTTTATAGCTTGCTATGTGGTATGGGTTTTGTTCATTGTTGAAGGTTAGTTGCTGACTTTTACCTCATTTTGTCTCTGTTTGAGATTGTCTCATTGATTGGCAATCATACCACATCTTCTGATTTTTATATCATACTAATCAGTGTTCTCCCCAGGATTTTTGGATAGCACCAGGGTAACGCGTGTCAAAATGATTTGTACAATATGCTGTGTCGCGTTGCATTGCTTTTTTTTTTCTTGTCAGTTTTTGTGTCATTACCTTTTTGTCTTTGTTTTGTTTACTGTGTTATGTAGACTTTGGGTCAAAAAATTACTGGTAAAAAAAGAAGTAAATCAATAAACAGTTTGTATACTTTAATTTCTTTTAAGAATAAATAAAAGAAAGCACTATTAGTCTTTAAACTTAAGTCACTTTTTATATTTTGATCAAGCCAATTTGTCCTGATACTTGTAGTTACACTACACTTTCCCCATTTTTGTTAGATTACACCATAACAATTAAATTTAAACAAGATTAAATTTTAATGCAGAACCTCTAGTAAATTAAAAACTATTTTCCATAGCTTTAAACATGATTCTTTTAAACAACAATACAATTATTATTAGAATCATTATTGTGTTACTTGGTAGATAGACATGTAAAGTAAATTTATATCATCTATATGTACACCCACATATCATATCAAGCTGAGTTCCAATCAGTTTATTTTTATCTTTATTAAAATGAGTTCCAATCAGTGTTTAAAGACTAGGAAGAAATCAATTACCAATTAGAAAATACTACCTATTTATTATAATATGTCTGTGCATTAATAAAAGTATGATTATCAAAAATAATTTGCAATATATTTTTGTTGGTATGTTCAAAGAAAGTTTTTATCCTTAAGGTAACATTCTTATATAATTTTGCATTCAATTTGTACTTTATTTCTATTTTCAATGATAGATGATATTTTAGGAGCACTTATTTGTAATAAGCTAATTCAAGGGAAGTAACTCCAACACGTTTAAAATACGCAAGTTATTTATAACCAAAGGCTGGAGTAATAGAGTTAATTAACAAATGTCTGCTCGTCCCTCACAAGTCTGATCATTAATTATGATCTCTTAATTAATTAAAACACAAAAGAATCATGTACATCAATTAAATCCAATCATCAAGGTTAACCTCAAAAGGTAAATCGATCACGTGGTGTAAACAATCAAGTTGTTTGAACTGGTTTGAACTGGTCAATTTTCATCTGAAATTTTATACCCCACGGAAAAGGTTTATCAAGTCGTTTAAAACTTTACCGATTTACGATTTTTTTACCGAAAATTTTAGCACCACGGAGAAAAATTATACATCGCGGCAAGAACGATACCACCACGGTAGAAAATTATACATCGCGGGCCCGCGGTCCTTTAAGGGCCTGGGGAGAACACTGTACTAATGATTTGAATGGTACTTAAATCCTGAAACATAAGGTTCTTATAATATCTTGTGTCAAAACATAAGCATGATAAGATAAGATAATCTTTATTTTAGACTCAAAAGGTCCATATAAATATATATGAAACAAAATATTCTGTTTAAACAGAATTCAATTTTAAAATATTTACATTATTATCTATAATTAAAAATTTAGATATAACTCATTGTACCATTTACTCTTAATGTTGAAGAATACAATTAATCACTTCTGAGAATTGTATTAACCAACTGATTTTCAGATAATTTCAAGCGCAATTTGACAAACTGAACATTGACTTTCCCATACTGTAAATTCAGAAATTATTGCGAAAAATTTGTAAGGGTTCCGCGGAACCCAGTGTCTCGCCTACTTTTGCTGTAAATCGCAGGCTCAACAAAAATAAGATGAGGAAAATATTTAATAAAAATATTCCTCTCGATAAAATTTTTTATTACATTGGTTGCAATGAATTACATTGATTTCCCAGTGAAATAAAAACCGATAATTTCACATGTGAAATAAACGTGGTTATTTCACTCCTCTGACATCATACAACAATAGGCCTGTCAAGACGTCGATAACGTCGGATCAAAACAAATTGTGAATGCGTAGAAAACGATATAGTTCCTTACATTTTCTACTTTAATTTCACAAAAAAGCCATTTTCCAATGTAATAAAAAGAATAACTAATCAAAGAATTCAAATATCGAAAAATATTCAACTCGTGACCGAACAACACTGATAATTAACTCATGCGCTACGCGCATTCGTGAATTAATGTGTTGTTCGGTCACTCGTTGAATATTTTTCTCTATTTGAATTCTTCGATTAGTTATTCTATAATTATTGTAAGAAGCTTCTGTCCAAGTTTGGTAAAAATCCAGGATAGTTTATGAATCTAATAAATGTTTTAAAAAATTTAACTGCAGACTGTATGTAATGTTAACACGAAGAAAAAGTAAGTCCATTTGTAAGTTAAATATGGATAAACAAGTACAAAATTTTAATAAAAATTTCCTTCTAAATACTAGCTTTTGATCCTTAACAAACTTCTGTCCATGTTTGGTACAAATCCAGGATAGTTTAAGAAAGTTATTAAAATTTTAAAAACTTTAACAACAGAGTGATTGTAATGTTTCCTGGTAGAAAAACTGAGTCCATTTATAAGTAAAATACGGAAAAACAGGATTTTTATTTTTTTAAATTTACTTCTGGATACTATCTAATGATCATAAACAAGCTTCTGTTCAAGTTTGGTAGAAATCCAGGATAGTTTGAGAAAGTTATTAAAATTTTAAAAACTTTAACCACAGAGTGAATGTAATGTTTCCTGGCAGAAAAACTAAGTCCATTTATCATGTTTATAAGTAAAATACGGAAAAACAGGAATTTTTTTTTTTTAATTTACCTCTGGATACTATCTTATGATCATAAAAAAGCTTCTGTCCAAGTTTGGTAGAAATCCAGGATAGTTTGAGAAAGTTATTAAAATTTTAAAAACTTTAATCACAGAGTGAATGTAATGATTCCTGGTAGAAAAACTAAGTCCATTTATAAGTAAAATACGGAAAAACAGGAATTTTTTTTTTACAAAATTTACTTCTGGATACTATCTTATGATCATAAACAAGCTCCTGTCCAAGTTTGGTAGAAATCCAGGACAGTTTAAGAAAGTTATTAAAATTTCAAAAACTTTAACCACAGAGTGAATATTTGTGGATGCCGCCGACGCCGACGGAATGTAGGATCGCTATGTCTCTCTTTTTCGACAAAAGTCGAAGGCTCGACAAAAATGTGACAGGGTTATAATCTCAATAATTTAAACTTGCATTTTGAATTTTTTTATATGAATTAAACAGAATTTTTCTCAATATCGCAAAAATTGAAATCGCATTTTAGTCTAAAATGACAAAATCGAAATAATAAATGCACGCAATAATTTCTGAATTTACAGTAACATAGTTTATTTAATTTGCTATTTTTGTAAATATCTTATTACAGTTGGTGGCCCATATTCGCTGAGGACACTTTTTCACTGTTATGCAATTTTCTAAGGATGCATGAAAAGATGGGAAGTATGTATGCGTTATTTGTTTGGTTGAACAGTGTCCATATCGACGATTTATCATTTGTTTATAGAGGTATATAACAGTTAACTTGCAAAAATAAATGTAATTATGCTAAAAACAATGACGTTTACATGAAATGATGAACCTCTTCCCCTAATCAAATGGTAGCTACTGTCAAAATGTACATTGAATATGACCCAGAAATTTTGTTTCCTTGTATATGAAAAGCTTTTTAGGTTTTTTCACAAATAATCAGAATCAACGTTTAATTGCAAATTCTTTTCACGCTTTCCACTGCTCATTTTTCTTGCGTGCATGCACTTTGTGTCTACATTGTACAATACACCATATGGATTTTTTATCAGGTAATCTAGGCCCTCCTGGCTCCTGGATAGTTTTCTTCATTTCAAATATGAGCAGGCATTTCTTTTTAAAACAAAATGCAGCTCAGTGCAATTATATAATTTGTTTAAAAGACATAATAATAGTATCTTGAAAACTATGCATGCACAGTCATGACAGTTAGTACCGGGAAGCAAATATTTTAGGTCAGTTTTCAATCTCTATAGTGTGTTTTTTGCTTCAAGCAAATTTCACACATTAACATACTGTTTAATATAACAATGTTAATGAATCTTTTTGAGTCATAGATTACGGTGAAAATGTGTCCCCCTGATATGCGGTATTCTTGATTTCTACTAAAGTTTGTGTTAATCTGTAGACCTAAAAACCTTGAAGATCCTCCTTCATCCGACATGTTAGTTTTATAATAATTTTGGAAAATTGAATAAAAAGTTTTCGAAATTTGAATGTAGATCAGCCATAGGTGAAAATACACCTAATCGCTATTTATTCCATTCCAGATAAGTTCTAAAATTACACAACTTTTTCATCCAGTTGAAGCTATCTGGGACCCTGTTTAAACAATACACCATGCATAATACTTTTTAATGAGACCTGTTTAAAACATCGTAAATACTTCAAACAAAATATTTTTTTGACGATAATTTGAGTTTGGAAAAGGTGGATCATAATCTATCAAAGTTTCCTATTGATCGCTTTCTAAATTTTTCCCTCCCTCAGCTCGTTACTGATGACCTTTGTTTGCTGCCTGTTGACCCAAACAGGAAGTTGTCTAAATGACTGTTTTTTCCGGATTGGACTAAATAGCGATAAGGTGTAATATGGAAGGTTTATGTGGCAAAAATGAGCACCCCACTCTATATATATTTATCTGTTAAATACCACAGACTTCTAGTCCGAATAATTATGATGTCTTGAATGGCTATTTCAATTTTTTGCTTCTTGCCAATCTTGGGCGTCACTAGTCCAAATAATTATGACGTCTTGAAAGGCTATTATATTTTTTTTCTTTGACGCCTTACGTCGATGTAAGGCGTCAAAGAAAAAAAATATAATAGCCTTTCAAGACGTCATAATTATTTGGACTAGGGTGTCACAGCAAAAAATTAAAAGAACCTTTCAAGGCTCATAATTATTTGGACTAACACTAGTAACAGACTCCAAATTTGAAATAAATATGTTTGTATGTTTGGCAACAATGTTGTCAAATCGACACTTTTCTATGATGTTTTGCTTAAATCGTTAAACTAAATAAATAGTGAATTGTGTGTGCAAACTGAAAGTAATGGTAATTTTCGTCATGTAAAAATATTAGCTTTTTATCCAAAGAGGAATATTATTATGTTTTTACTTGTCAAGCCAGAATGTCCATCGTGTATTTAATGGTATACCACATTCCTCTTGTGAATGTATTTCACTGAGGGTTGAACGAGGTAGATTTGGACTTCCCACTGGCATTGTTTTGATGGATTTTAAACCATCCAAACTGTTGATGCTCGAGACCGCCATGACAGCATTGGCGAAGTCCAATCACGTGATCAAAATATTTACGTCTTGAACTTAGGTGTCTTCTTTTCTCCGTATAGGAGCTTCCTCTATTTAGGAACACCCCTCTTTTGAGGGTAAAAGCTAAACTTCTTGAAACTGAGTCAACTATGTACGCACACTATTTACAATTAGTTCCCATCGTACATTTTAAGTATGCCTTCAATTTGTTACAAAACTAGAGAATAAAAAATGATTTTAGTGCTAAAATAGATTTAGGTGAATCTAGGAAGTCAGGCCGCTTGTATTACGCTACACTGAACAAAGTGTAATATTAGTCAGCCGAGAACCAGTATGTCCCAGGGTGAATAGATAAGGAAAATATCAAAAACAAGTCCCTGTGAGAACATTTAATTTATAAATTCTTGGCATCATTCACAAAAAAATAAAGAATAGCTAAGTACTGCAGATAAAAATTACATATAAAATCTGAGACTACTATAACGAGAGACCGTAAAATACATGTCTATATATCTGGGAACAGTATATCTAACTGTCAATCGATATATGTTCCTGTATATATATAAGTCTCTGCTATATCACAGAAGTCCTAGATAAAATTAAAGAAAACGGAAATGAAGACCCCCCTCAAATCAGGGTTGGCAAAGTATTACCCGCCCGGGAAAACCCAGGTGGGAAAACCCGGGTTTTCCCGGGCTGGGCAAAACTCCCAGAAACGGGTAATACTGGGCAATATGGTTTTTTAAGCTTATTTCAACACAAAATAGTAAAGACTTGTTGTAGTTTCATAGTATTATAGCTAAATATATACATTTTATACAGATAACCATTGAGAGTCGTTTCTAGAAGATTGAAAATTCAATTTCATTCTCTTTTCCACTAATTCTATGTAGGCAGAATACAAGATTTGCACATTTTAGGATACCTTCCAAGCATTATTTCAATAATCCAAAGTTGCATTTTATTGCAGTGTTTTTAAGTAAATAAATTTGAATTGCTATGCAATCATATAGCTAAATAAACACCCTACAGGGTCATGTCATTCTTCCTAGATAGAAATGAAAAGGCTGATTATTGTTATATAAACATTTGTGTTCTTATCTGAATAATTACTTATTAATTAGTGATGTACATATACATTATGTAAAAGTAAATTTTCTTACATGTATATTTGAATTGTTAATTCTTAATATTAGTTACACGACGGGTGCCACATGTGGAGCAGGATCTGCTTACCCTTCCGGAGCACCTGAGATCACCCCCAGTTTTTGGTGGGGTTCGTGTTGCTTAGTCTTTAGTTTTCTATGTTGTGTCATCTGTACTATTATTTGTCTGTTTGTCTTTTTATTTTTGGCCATGGCGTTGTCAGTTTGTTTCGATCTATGAGTTTGACTGTCCCTCTGGTATCTTTCGTCCCTCTTTTATATATATTTGAAAACAACAATGAATTCTTTGGCTTTATGTTTACAGTTTGACCAATCTAGACAGAAGGGTGATTCAATAGATTTTTAGGAGAATTATTGAGAAAGGCTTTTTCCATTAATATTTGTCTAATGTGTTTTTATGTACACATGTCTCAGAGTTGCTAGAATAATACTTTCTCAAATGTATACACTTGTATTATAAGACTCTCAAACAAGAAAACTTATTTATAAATCAAAATATGTTTATAAATATCTTAAATGTATTGCATTTGTGTTTGATCACTGGACCCTCTTTAAAATTCAGGCCAGTATTTTATATTACCCAGTATTGCCCAGAATTACCCGGTAAAACCCAGTAAAACCCGGTTTTCCCAGTATTTCCCACTGTGCTGGGCAATACTCATAAAACCCGGGTTTTTGCCAACCCTGTCTCAAATGAACCATCTTAACTCTCAAGCTTTACCAAATTTCAAATTCTCTATAATTTCTAGCTCAAGGGCCATGGCATGGTGTGAGGTTTTCCCATGACTTGGCTTATTGTCCGTCGTCTGTCGTAGTCCGTTAACTTTTACAAAAAGCTACACTTTGAACAAGTCAACTGGGCCCCAATCATCATTGGGGTATCTAGTTTTATTGCAGTATCGAGGCCATCATGGGGGTGTCCAAGTAATTACATAATCACAATTTTTTTGCCAATATAATCACATAATCATTAATAATTTTTTAAACAAGATAATCAAATAATCAAAAATACAGTCCTAGATTATCAAATAATCAAATAATCATGAAATATTTGGTCTGGTAATCAAATAATCACTATAAAAACGGCTAAGTAATCACAAAATCAAAAACCCCATGAAGAGGCTCAGTATCATGGCAGACATGGCAGTAGTGTTATAATGATGATAAGAAAACAGTAGAGCCGTAGAGCAGGGTAGAGCACTAGGTCTTTGGTATTTGGCCAAGGTCAGTTAGTACGAGGGAGAGTTGGTTGGTGATAAGGGTATGTTTGAGTGTGGTGCCCATGTAGTCTCCACGTCACAAACTACAGAAACTATTTAGTTATACAATGTAAACAAAACGCCACATCATCATGTTTCCAACGTGAAGCAGAGAATGTTTCATCAAATCCATATAGCACTTTAAAAGAGATATGCATGCATACAAGGACTTAGGTAACTGAAAAAAAAAAACATTTATTCCACATCTCAGTATCTTCAATAAAAAAAAACTACCTGGTTGCTGACAAGGATATGCAGATTGCAATTAACATGATTAAATAGTATTTAAGTGTTGAAATTCACCAAGTTCTTGTAGAGATGAAAAATGGCTGGTGTCTTGGCTATATAGGTATTTGACTGAAGTCAGTTAGTACGAGATAGGGTTGGTTGGTGACAAGGGTATGCATGAAATTCATCAGTAGATAGAGCAGTCATTTTATTTGTTAATACGTTGTCTCATGCACATTTATTCCACATCCAAGTAGTTTCCATTAATACCCTCCACATAACTTCTCTTTATCATTAAAGGATGACTATATTCCAAGCTTCTAGTCGTTCTCTGTATGAGATTTTGTATTTTCTTGTTTTGTTGAAAATCGTTGTCTCATTGACAATTATTCCACCTCTCAGTATTTTCCATATAATAAAAACCAGAAATAACATATATAAACTTATTATACATTTTCAGCACCACCATGTCAGTAAAGTAACAGAATATCAACCAGTAATATAGTATATATAAAACTGATATCAGAACACTACAAAAAGTCCACCTCAACATGAAAAACCAAATATTTTTGAAATCTTATAACTTGAGTTTAACACAGTATTGCATTTTTGAGCACAAACAAAGCACCAAATTTTACAAAATTAAGTTTAGCAGTAATATAATATGTCACTTTGTTCCAAAACACAATTAAAAGTAAAACAACAAAAATACCGAACTCCAAGGAAAATTCAAAACGGAAAGTCCATCAAATAGCAAAATCAAAAGCTCAAACACATCAAACGAATGGAAAACAACTGTTAAATTCCTGACTTGGTACAGGCATTTTCTTATGTAGAAAATGGTGGATTAAAATATGTCACTAAACTTTTACAACCAATATCAATACATATATATTTCTCCTGAGTACCATAACAGTATAAAAGTTGGCAAATGTGAATGGATTTCCTTAAATATTGGAATGTTAAAGAAGGATTTGATTGAATTATTGAATAGACAAAAACAATCACCTATAATGGTTTACTTTTATAAATTTTGACTTGGATGGAGAGTTGTCTCATTGGCACTCATACCACATCTTCTTATATCTATAAAAGTGCACTGCAATAAAAGACATTTCTTCTGTATAAAGTATCAAAATACTGATACAGTAAAATAGCACCCGAGTATTAAGATAATTTCTCGAAAAGTATCATGGCACAGCCTAGTAAACCTAGGTTTATGGCACCATTAAAATGATGAGATGCTGTGAATTTCTCAACATGAAAGCAGATGTACTGTACAAATCATTATAATGGATTTAAAATAGATGTTATTAAAAGTTCAAATTCTAGAGCACATGAGATGGAATATTGTTAATTAATACAAGCAAATAAAACAAGAAGAATAAGTTCTTAATATTAACAGTTACAACAAAAAATATTTTCAAAATAAGAGTGATTTTAACAACCATTAAAATATTTGACCAGTAAATCTCATAATTAAGAGCGTGAATATAAAGGTTTGTTATAATCTCAATTGATAGCAAGAGAGAAATCCTCTAGAAGAGTTATTCTAAACACATTTTCGTCTATTAATCTTTAGAAAAACAACTACCTGTACATGTATAAACTACATACATTATGAATATTTTATGATACTTTAAACTTCATTCAATTATTTCTCACTGTAAGAACCAATTAAATAACTAACATGAATCATAACAGATATATACATTCATTTAAACTCATCCTTAACGGACAAGATCTCTGCATATTAGCCCCTTTCTAACACTAGCATCCAACATATGGTCAAGTCCACACGACTTATGTTTGTATTCATAAATAAACAAAGTCTGAGTCATTGGAATTGCAATTAAGGTTCTTAACTTAATCAAAATTTGATGTAAAATCAGTATGATAGTAAAACGAAAGAGACAAATACAAACTATATGCATAATCTACACAAGTTTTATAATTTGATGTCCTCACTGATCGCCTGTGTATCTTAGATACGTTTTACAATATTTATCATAGATTAATGTTTATATCAAATACATGTCAACTGGAAAATGTAACCCCTTATACCTGTTATATCTTAACCTAGTTTCAACACAAGTTAAATAAACTTCAAAACCACAGAGTAATGCTTTCATGCAATTCAAATAATTCCAGCTTTATTTTTTTTTACCACCGATAAGATTTAGCTTACGATTTATACTTGTGCTAATTAATCTCATTTCGACATGCAAATGATATATTCCAATCATTACTTTCATCAAGTTCTCATATCACACCTCGCAAGACTTTAAATACCATTTCTAATATTTAGTACTAGTATATGTCATACATATCACTGTATAGTGGTATAGTAATGTAATACAATGTATCATG